GACGAACAATTTCCTGCGTTTCTGGGATGAGTAATTCACGGTTGTCATCCAGAAGACGATTGAGTGCTTCTAAAACATCGGTAGGAGCCAAGTTGAGTTCATCAAGAACAATCCAGTGGCCTTGCCGAAGAGCCTGAACAAGCAAGCCTTCTTGGAAGCGCAGCTTTCCGTCCGAATCGGAGACGTAAGTGCCCAAGTACTCTTGTAGATCAGTATGTTCGTGATTGTTGATTCTCACAAATTTGTTTCCGCTAAACTTAGCGAGATACTCGATCATACTAGTCTTTCCGGATGAAGTAGGACCTTGTATCAAAACTGGGAAGCGACGAGTTGAAGTTGCACGGACCAAGTTGAGCATGTTACGCTCGACAAATGGCGTGATGATGTAGTGAGGTTGCTCTTGAGGGGTCTCATAACCTTGAAGCATCCAATATTGACGATCTCTTTTCTTGTTCATGAATCGTACATATTGTTTTCCATCATCTGGGTGTTTTGGTGTCTGGGCCAAAAGAGCTTGTGGGTTGCCATGACTGTCTAACAAATGGTGCTCAATAAGCGGCATGAGCATTTTTTCGGATTCTCGATCAAGGAGAGTCAAGAAGCCCATGGAAAACCCTTCGTAGAGCGCCCTGCGTAAGCCATAAGATGGAGCAATCTCGGTGACGTAGGAGAGAACACGAGTCAATGTTCGCAAACTGAAGTGCGGTACTTCATTTGCACCATCAACCAATCGCTTCTCTTCGGCGAGTCGTTTCGTGTTCATATAAAGACGTGCGACATCATGAGCAGCCCTTTCGTCGTTGCTACTTGTCCCTTTGAGATATGCTTTAATGACAGCTAAAAGGTCGTCTAGATTCTTGTCTGGACTATCAACATAGAGTTCAGTAAATCTAGAACGCAGTCCCATAGGAAGATCACGTTTCCCAACATCTGTTGCTGGATTCATGGCACCGAATATGCGGAAGTCTGGGTGTGCTTGGATCCGCTCTATTTCACCAGTTTCAGAAAGAAGAATTGAGGGTGAACCAGTACCACCATGCAACAGGTCGGCTATACTCTCAAGAGTATCTGGAGATGCCAAATTGACTTCATCAAGAAGTACCCACTCTCCATTGCGAGCTGCTTTGACAATGTTACCTTCGACGAAGGAGAAAGCAAACCCTTTGGAGCCTGCAGACAACTGGATATCGAATTGGTCCAAGCTCTGCGAGAACCTTGACCAACGAGACTTCAATTTCAACAGTGACTGTAATTTTGACTCTGTCTTGCGCCTCTTCGTTGGTTGCTCAGAGGTTGTGGGCATGCTTGCTTCTTCTTTTTTGGCAAGCTCAGAAACGATTTTTTCAAACATTTTGGGAGCCTCACGCCACAATTTCGATGCCTTGCTCCATTGACTCTTTGCGACACACTTTCCAAGTTGATCAATGTACTTTTGATTCTTTGTGGCAGAAATGCCTGTTGATGCAAAAAGATCGTCGAATTCATCTTTGAGTGGAATTGCAAGACTCCGGACATTCACAGGTTTAAAGCCTCCAAGCAAATCACCGACTTCACTTTGTTGCGACAAGTTCACAGCGGTGAGTTTGAACCCCAACGAATTTGCAAGCTGCTGTACGACAGTAGTCTTACCAATACCTGTCTCTCCAACTAACAAGACTGGCTCAGCCATCCGGACCGCTACACCGACTTGTTCAAGCAATTTTTTGGCATGTGTTGTATTTGCGAAGGGACGGCTCTTTTTAGTGGGCTTCGTCACACGACTACTTCGTTTCTTAGATAATCGCACTCTACCAATCAGAAGCTCGTTGTCGCCGTCATCGTAACGCGGAATATGACCAGTGAGGAAATGTTCCATAGTCTGAGGATCAATGTGCATTTCCTCAGCGATACATGAAACCAGCGACCTCCGGGATTCCTCGGACTGTTGACTCCCTGCGAAGCAATCGACGGCTTCTAAAAACATCTCATATTTTGTGCTGTCGGTTATGGGTTCGCTGCCGGTCTTAGATCCTGATGATGTAAGAACACTTGCTAGTCTTCTGCACCACTTCAGAAGATCCCGAGGACTTATTGGACGCCCTATTGAAGTTCGAGTTTTAGATGCAAAAGAAGGCTTAATCGAGAGAGTGTAGAGTCGTTCGTAGACGCTGATGATCCCAGGCAAAAATTGGCGCAATATCGGGTAAGTACCGTCGATTATCTCTCGAAACTCGTCTTGGTTTGGCATTTGAATAGGAACACGCTGCCACATTCGTGCTCCGAGCATGTGTAATGCTGGTGGAATCTCTCCGCCACTTACATTCAAAGAGGTTCGAATACTCGCAAGAAGCTTAAAACCTGCCTTGGCCTTAATAGTTTCACCTCGACTTGGTATTAGAAGCTCGCCTCTCTCTACAAGTGGCAGTATCACGCTTATGACTTCATTTGGAGCGCGATCAAGATCCTCGATAAAAACCCAACGCCCTTCCTTGACAGCTGTAGTTAGAACACCTGCTCTCCAAGTGAAAGATCCGGGTGTAGATCCTGTAGCGTACATGCCAATAAGCATTTTTGCATCAGTCTGCTCATTCAAATGAAGTGTAACCATGCTTGAATCCATTCCAAGTTCTCGTGCGAAGTCATTGACCAACGAAGTCTTTCCTGCACCAGCCAACCCGTGGAGTAGGATTGGCGAAGAAGACATAAGGGCCTTGGCAAAACATTCTCTATTTTGCGAGGTTGTGGTAGTTGATATGAGTTTAGATGGCTGCGAAGGATAGCCGTTTGGACGAGGTAAGACTACATCTGAATACTGCACAACCAGTGGTGAAAACTCCTGTGCTACTTTTTGAGATTGAAACATTTCTGTCCCAGCACTCAAACTCAAAGCAGCATTTTTCAGCCGCTTTTCTTCAAAGATACTAAGGAATCCATAGTCCACCATTTCGCCGTCGAAGTCCCCCATGACTGCCATTGTATTTCCAACGAATTTCGCAACCATTGCCTCCAACCTGTCGTCCGAGGCGAATTGAAGCTGGCAGAAGATTCTCACCGCAAGATATCGAACTGCTGAATCAGTATGTTCGAGAAGGCTCTGAATCGCGGAGCTTGAGACTGTCCCAGAGTAGGCCTGCTTATCGAAGTTGAGAAGTCTCCATGTTGCCAGCAGAATTCGTTGCAGCGCCAGATCAGACAGAACATTGCCCAGGACGCTTGCACCATCTCCCAGGCTGATTAAATTGCGAGAAGGGCCATTCTCTGTAGAAGGTGTAGTCTCGGAGAGATATTTTTCGAGAAAGGTATTCAGGTGCGGCGCAAGGTATAGGATTCGTGAAAATGCTTCAATAATTTCATTTTTTTGGGTACCAGGATGCGAATTGGCAACCCATCTTGCAGCCGAGTCCGCGATTAAGGTATTAAAATATGTGAATAATTTGAGTGTTTGTTTGGGCTTTAAGGCAGATATGGCGAGAGTTTCGAGGAAGTGAGGGGATTGTTGGAGGTTAACGATTTCCAGAATTTCCTCTGGAAGTTCTGCTTGTAGGTTGCTTTCCATGGTTATATCAGGATCATTTCCATGCCGAATAGCCTCCATCTCGTTCAATCATAAAAATCGTGGGATATCAATTGTTTATTTCAATGCAACTATCCTGAACTTTTTTTCTTAATCGCAATCAACTTTTTTTGAAAGTACCGACGTTTCGCCGACGCGCTAGAAATTTAGCTCCACAATGCAGAAAGTCTACAAAGTCCTCACAACAATTATAGATTGTATTATCATATCGCCTCTCATACCCACACACAATGTCGTTATCCTGCCAGTCCGCAGCCCGCAGCTGCATACGATCTCTCCGATCATCCTCGTTCCTCCGCATTTCCACAGCTTCTCTTGCACAAAGAAGAAATCCTTCTGCGAGATGGGCGTCAACAGAGGCAGCGTCAGCGAACCCAAAGATCTCCGGGATTGTGGACCAAATCAGTCAATTGACTTTATTAGAGACAGCTGATTTAGTTGCTAGCTTAAAGGTAAGACAATTTCTGCCAAATACATGCGCCTGAGGGAGTTGTTCGCAGTCACTGATCAACCCGCTCTCCAGTCACGACTAAATATTCCTGATATGCCAATGGGAGGATTCTCTGCTGGTCCTGCCCAAGCCGCTGCACCAGTTGAGGAGGAAGATGCCGCACCAGTACAACAAGAGAAGACTTTGTTCAACCTGAAGTTGGCTTCGTTTGATGCGGGGGCAAAACCTAAGATTATCAAAGAGATCAAGAGCATGTTGGGATTAAGTTTGGTGGACAGTAAGAAATTCGTCGAAAGTGCGCCAAAGATGATGAAGGAGGGTGTGCCAAAGGAGGAAGCCGAGAAAATAATTGCAACATTGAAGGAATTGGGCGCTGTTGTTAACATGGAATAAAAACCTCTACGAGAGGAGTTGCATAAGTTGCGGGGTTCGGAGAAATTCGGCATGTATCAATAGAGATGTGTACAAAATCTACTTCTCATCCAGGCATACATAGAGAAACTCTACATAATCTGCTGCGGCAGATTTTGGGACACGAAGACTGTCTAGTCATCAGAGAGTCTCTTATGTCAAACCGATTTTTGTGAGGATGACACCGAAGTAGAATTCAGATCAAATCGAGTGCCCCGCACTCCAATGACTTCAATGAGTTTCTGTTAACTTTCGAAAAATCGTCACAAATGTGAAAGCAGGCCTTCATGAATATCTTGAACGGAAGCACGAATCCTACTCCTCTAATTGTTATTTAGTCTGATACAACCTATGCCTCGCTTCTACTTGTTCAAACATGGTTGCGTTTCTAGCGAACGCCCAGATCAGCAAGTAGCTCCATGCTTCATGAGTTCAATCACACGAGGTGTAAGTAGAGTGCGTCGAGAAGTAAGCCTATCAAATGTCTACAGAATGTCTCTCCGGAAATCCGCAATTACTGTCAAATGTGAAATAGAAGACACGAGTACTACTCCACTGAACACCATGTACCATAATAAGCACTATAAAACCGGATAAATATCCATTCATAATGAATCCCTCATGCAGTGCAAAAATTCAGATTGGTCTGAAGTTTCTAAAAAGCGTACTTTTCTCATATAGTCAGCAATTCTTATTCTTACTTTGATCTTAACTTCCCAAGTATCAAAGCGATTGTTCTCTTCCTATGATGTGTTGCTTTGGTCTGTCTAGTGGATCTCCTCCGATCCACTCACGTCCTCCTGTTCCATCCCGGGTCATCGCGTAAGCCAACTTATCCCGAATCCGTTCATATCACCTTCTTTAACTCCATATCCACCACAAAGTGCCTACTAATATCCCTCTCCTTTTCCATAGCATACTTCCCCCCACCTATCGCCCCAGTTGCAACATTGCCAGCATGCCTGTTATTGTCGAGCCATACATACACAGAACTATCGTGCCCACGCCGCATGGTATACACCTACCACATCAATCTTCGCATCACCCTTTACATCATGGCAATTCAGGATACCGAAGGGAACGAAGCTTGTCGCTTCATCATGGGTCGAGGATGCATCATGCATAAGGGTCTAGTAAACCTGATAATGGATTGTTTGGGAGGCATCATTGAAGTGAGAAAAGGGGAAGAGTGGATAAGTCGCTTAAGATGTAAAGGCATGTGGGGCTTTCACATTTATATCAAGATCAAAGTTCTCGCTATTCTACTTCTACCTATACTTGATGTCCTAATTTTGAGTTGTTTGTATCAAGGAGAATCAAAATCACACCTTGTACCCACATCTATCAAGTTGATCTTAAACTGCAGGCTACATTCTGTCTCTAACAGTCTGATGGCCAGTGATGATGAACTTTGTAAACCATGAAGTATGTGAGGAAAGAACATAATACATTAACTGAAAGTATAAAGAGGCTCCAGCTTTCTTTCCCGGTCAATTTCTCAAAGTGCAGGTGTTTCACAATTCCAAATCATCTAAGCAACCTTGGAACTGAATAATCTCATCAATCTTCCTACAACAACTTCGAACCCAGAGAACTGCCACTTCCCTCCCACCGCCTACTTAGGTCCTAGCCGAGGACACAAATTTGATTCAATTTTCCTTGATCTTTTACATTTTTTCAAAAATCCTTTGCAAATTAATCCAAACAATTGATCTACAATATCTACAATACCTCAGCATTCTGTACTGCAATGTTTCGCTAGCCTCATTATGCATAGCTTACCCAAAATATATTACTATTCTCCTATAAATCTTTTCATCCCAAGATAGTTTTCAAATTCGAGAACTTCGATTTTCTTTCAACCTTTCCAGAGTTTTCTGAAATGTTATCAGAATCCAGGTTCTCCGTTGGCAATTTCATCGCTGTTATTCGATCTGAATTTCGATGACTATTGACGGCCTTGGTGAAAGTTGTAACGCCAACTGGAAGTTTGGAAGAGTCGTACACCAACTCTCACTTTGAAGGAATGTCAAGATACTAGAGATTGGAGACATTAAGCGTGCAGACAAAATCACATTGCAAGAAACTGTCTCTTCATTCAGATCATAATCAGTAAATTTTGGAACAGAATCAGAGAGTATCAGCTTTATTTGTTGAATGTATCAACACTTCGGGCGCGACATGAATTCAAATGAGGATTGTAAAACGTACATGTCGGAGTGATAGCGATGTCAGATTTAAAGTCCAACTAATTGTTGGTAAATCAGCATCGACATAGCTATTATTCAGGATAAAACAAGTGTGAGTGATACAAAGCATCCAGGAGGTGACGTGAGATGCTAATCTATCCCAGGTCTGGAACAACGCCTAACGAAGAAGCGCTCAGTCTCACGATATCAATCGTTGCGCATCGAATCAAAATGTATACTTTGGTAATATTCGGCGGGTATTAAAATGTATCCTGATACATCTAAAGGCTTTGTATGATCCAAACGATGTATTGGCACATTCAAAGCTAGGCGGTGGTCTTATCATCCTTAGCAGATGCATCTTGGATACCACTGTGGAGATGTACATAATCGTATGATCAGCCGCCTTGAATTGCAACACAATCCAGTGTCAATTGACGAGGGGGTCCAAATGGTATTAGAGGTTCATGGAGTGAAAACACATCCCAGATCAAGTGGCTGGTCAGCAGCCCATCCATATTGTGGATACTATCGGCTGAGATATCCGTTCTTACCAAGATCTTGTACGATGGAAAGAGGTAAGAAGCTGCCCACAGAAATGTGCTTTTATATACTAATTCGAAAAAGCGTTCGTTTCGGTGCTAGAAACTCCCTTTTTCGATATTATCTGAGCTGCTAAAGTCAAGAACGATGGTTTCGTCAACAAACATTTCGCTAATATGCAACACATTTCATTGGAGGATGACGAGGAGTTGTCTATCCTCCAGAGCAGTGAGTGAGATTACCTGAAACTTTCAATAGAGTCGAGATTCAAAGTTTTCAAAGGGTGTCCAAGTTGAAATTCGACGAGTACTATCAGAATGAAAATACTGGGGTAGGAAATTGTGACTCTCTCATTAATATGAGTCTTATGCTGACTTCAATAAGTTATCAGGATTGCATGAGCGCTCATATCATTGCAAAATCGATCCTATACCTCTCATCAATAGCATGGTCCAGCACCTGTTGCAAATGCTTAGCTCGAACGAAGTCGAATCATGGCCATTCTTGGATTGAAACCTCCATTCGCTTTTGCAAGCTTTACAAGATCTCTTTGGCATAGTCCACCTAACATTCAGCCTCCTTGACAATATACAAGCAGAAAATCCACGAGTTCATTGACAAACAATCTGCTGCAAATCTTTCACTACTGATGCCTTCTCTGGAACACTGCAGAATGCCATGCACAGAAATCAAGCCACAAAAATAGGACTTTTGAAGTCTTGACGCAAGAAACATATCACGATTGCCTTCTGAGACCTGATATAACTCCGAAATAAAGTTGAAAAATGTTGTATGATAAGGTTATTTATCAGTTTTGTTTGCATGGTTGATAGGCAGTCAGCCATCTACAAAGAAATTAGTATGGAGTTGTCCTTAAAGGAAAGCATGAAAGATACCACGATCAACACCAGCCGAGCCCCTGAGAGGGGTTTTATCCATAAAAACCAGCACCCCAAGTTCAAATGATAGTAAAAGACCCTCTTTATCTGGAAGTTCATGGTGGTTTAATTCAATGACACAACTTGTGCCAGAGATGTCGAGATGTGAACAATTCATATGTCCTCGAGGCCGTAAGGCGCCCGAATGGTCGCCCTGCCGATGTCAAAAATACAAACATCTTGCTCCCATCACCAGATGAAAGTTCTTATCCCCGTTACATGGGATAAAGTGAGGATTACAAGAAACTGCAGATTTCAGTTTACCAAAAGATAACACCCACCCAGGCAAAGATCTTAATTTCTTTTGACGAGAAAACTTCTCGAAATCAAATACAACCACGACCACTCGATCTCATAATCAATTATCGAAGATTTTCCTCATAATTCCACAACTCTCCCTCCATATCCACTTGGCCCAGAGATATTTAAAAGTAAGAATACATCGCAGAGAGTCTGTGGAAGAAAGCACAGCCGGTCAGTATGGATTCAATTGATACCAAGAGAGACCCGACAACTCACATGGTGGAGGTCAACTTCGAGTCGCACGCTGAAGCCGAGACCCTCGACGTCTCGCATGTAAAATTGAGCAACACATACCCGGAATCAGGATCAACTGGCAAATCACCACGCTTAACCTTCGGTGTGGAATTGGAGATCGCTGTTGGTACTTTAAGGGACATATGCCAAAACCCAACACCGAAAGATGGCCGTAGAGTTTATGGAGTTGACCGTCCTGCTAATTCACCTCCATTGCAACATGATCCAAGGCCAGCGAACTTTGGCGAGAGTTCGATCGCAGAGTGCTCATACAGAACCAAGGGCCGATTTTGTGTTTATGAAAATATTTCACAAACCCTTAACTGCGCTGGGTTCCCAGCTATACATATGGAGGGTTCAGAATACCAGAAAGATGGATATACTACTGAGATGACCAGCAAGTGGATCATTGGGACTGACATCAGTATAGATCTCCCAGATGAGTCAATCTATGACTATCATAAGCTCGAAATCAAATCTCCAGTTTATTACTTCAACGAGGAAGCGATTAGCGATGTTAAACGGGTTTGGGAGATCATCACCTCCACTTATAAAGTCGTCACAAACGAATCGATGGGCTTGCATGTCCATGTCGGGAACGGAGTTGATGCTTTCGACGGCGAAACTTCAAGGAATTTGTGGGGCATTCTCTGGACTACAGAGAAATGGATCGAGACCATTCACCCTCCTCATCGAAGAGTCAACTCATTCTGTCAAAGTTTCCACCGCTGTTCCAATTTGGGACGCGAGATCGGAGAACGATTTCACAAAGACCCAGAAGAAGAAGCGCTCAATTGGATTTTAACCAGGACACCTCCAACGGTGCGTGAATTCCTCGACACTATCTGCATGCACAGCGGCGCCTACAACTTCATCAATTTACTACCAAGTCAGAATGCCGGAAGTACCAAGCGTACGATTGAGTTTCGCCAGCATGAAGCAACACTCGATACGGAAAGAATAACACAATGGATCAAAGTGTGCGTAGGATTAGTCAGAGTATCTGCAGCTGCAAACCCCGCCGTACTGGACCCATATCTGCGACTTTTGGTTCGGACAAAGAGAGAAAAGCTTCGTGTATGGGATATTTTGAAAGAGCTTGGGCTTGAGAGTTCAGGACTTTATTACAAGGCTCGGATGTCAAGAGAGAGACCGGTGGGAATCGTTGTCAAAGAGTTGTGGAAGAAGACGGCGAGATTTGTCAAAAGATAAGCGGCCTCTTTCTCATAATATATCCGGAGCCTCATACTATACCCTGGAATAATCCATTCTATTTCAAGCATTCAGTCTTCAATTTCCAAATCAGTCTCTAATCGTGTCCTGAGATACCCAACTCTATCTCCACTTCGCGGCATACGATATTCCATAGAATCTCAAATAATACAATGGAGTTTTCAGCTTCGTTCTAGATATTCGAAGATAATAACAAACTTCCTTTCGAAAGCCTGTCTGCCAATCCTCGTACGCCCTCATTTTAGTCTTCAATACTCCAAATCGCATTCGAACATTCAGCATACAACATTTGAAGGTGGCTGAATGGGTCTTCAATTCTTCAGGCGACCTTTGACCATCCGAAATTCATATTCAAGCTGACGCAGAATGCAAGGAAACCATGGGATGGGGGTTAGGATACAATGGTAGTTTATAGAATTAGTCTGATGTCGTTGGGAACTCTGATTACATAATACAATGCATTATATAAGCCTCGAGCTTCTGGTCCCATGAACTCCAGGGTTATTTATTATGCTCACGCAAGGCATGGAATTTCAATTTTGAAATGATAATAACTTTGCTCATTAATTTTGAGAGAATAAATAGTAACTGTATCTAGCTCGTTCTTTACACTTGATATCATACAAATCATTCACCTGCCCCCGTACCAAGCCCTCCGCCGCCGCCGATCCCGTCCCTAAATCCTCGATTTTGCCATGCCTGTATACATTTAACGTAACATATGAATCACATTATAGACAAAATCATCCTCTTTGAGTTTGTTTCTTTTGAGCCTTTCTCATCTCTTTTTCCTTTTCCTTCTCGAGGTACTTCTTCTGTGCCTTGGCGTCAAGACCCTTCAATTCAAGATCCCTCTTCAACTTCTTGGCCTTTTCACGTTCTAGTGCACGCTCCTCAGCTTTCTCTTCTTCATCCGCTTTTTGAAGTCTCTTGATCGTGTCTTCACGGGTCATACGCACTTTACGCATGACTTCCGGTCGGAAATGAGCGCCAGATGCAAGTTGATCCGTGATTCTGATGAAGTGTTCAAAGAGAGGAAGAACTCGAGAGTAATCGTCACCGGAAGGAAGTTTCATAGATAGATAGATGCGTTTCTTTGGAACAGTATCATCAAGTCTGTGAAGATTGTAAGTAAAACGACCTTTCTGGGCTGGGATGTAACATGTGGGGTACTTACTTCAAAGGTCGATCAATTGGTTGATCAGTAATGATAAGATGCTCAAGTAGATCTCCAGCCAATTCCACTGCCTCAATCAATGCGGGAGTAAGCAAAAAGTCGGTGACCTCAGCGCTCTCGCTCATGACGGTAGCCCAATTTGGAAGCTTAGGACTATCCTTAGTGCTAGTGATGGAGACGTCATATCTGTCATCACGAAGTGACTTCATTGTCTCCTTGTTCACAATAGCCCAAACGAAATTATCATACGTGCTCTTGGTGTCTTTGCGCAATTCATGTGCGCCAGGAGCTTGACCAGGGACAGTAAGATTCTCTCTGCCATCAAAAGGATAAAGTATAGCCTCCATGCGCTCAACAGGTGCTGCAACGGTGTCAAAGAAGAGACTGAACGCGTACTCAATAGCGAGAGCGAAAGGATTGTAACGCTTGAAAAGCTTGATGTTAACGTCAAGGAATGCGATATTTTGACGACCAGTCGCATAGGTTGCGTACTCTTGTGGAGATCTCTCCTTCAACAAATCTTCAGGCAATTCGAGTTGCTTAGCCATGGACTTTGCGGTTCCTTCGTCTTCGATTTCCTGAGTTGTTGGAGCGCGGCCACCGAACCCAACTAATGCAAATTCCTTGCGTAAAACTGGTGCGTGTGCGGCCATCCATTTCTTCGCCTTCTTGCGGTTTGTGCCTGTTCCGAACAAGTGGATAGAAACGAGGACAATCAACAGTCCTAAAATGATACCTTCTTGCTTAAACTCGCTCAGAGAATGTCGCTCATGAACATTGTACCATTTAGTGTAAGAAACTGCAGCACCAGTAGGAGTTGCTACTGGTCCAGTGTAGTCAGCCGCCGAAGGGATTGCGGAGAAAGCTGGAGTTGGATCTGGAGCTCCAGCGAAATCCGCGAAATCTGTCGATAGATAAATTTAGTAAATGTTGGGTACGAAGAAGCATTGATTGTTGATTTACCAGAATCTCCAGCTTGAACAGGAGCTGCAGATGGCTCGGAGCTTCCGAAGAGACCATTCAATAATGCCGCCATTGTTGGTAAAATTGATCTTGAATTGATGGTGAGCTGGAGCTTTCGTTTCGAAGCTTGAGATTGTGGGTAAATTACTTCCGATATCCATGCTAACTGTATCAAGGTTAATTTAATGCGGTGCTATTCTGCCGCCTAATAAATCTTGACCGCCTTTAATTCGTCTCTTGGACAACCACAACCCCGAAGTTTACCCTTTACCAACTATGGTAATATGAAGTTTTACGCAAAGCATGTCCACTCAGACAGATATTGATCCTAATGCTTCCAAGCACATATATTGAGTATTCATATTTGAGATAACTACTAGGGAATAAGAAACTATTGAATTAGTCACTACATTGTAAGTCTACCACGGGCTTGGACCTGGGTATTTCTCAAACCAAAACCATGAACAAACTACAAAACGGGGGGTTCTCGCAATGCAAAATTGTGAATAGATGGTGTCTGGGTAGTTCCTTGAGGCCATTTATATTCCATAAAGCTATGGGATGTATCGTGTATCTGAATACTTTCGTATCGCGTTCGAGTATCATACAGCTTTGAGAGATTTGCTGAAGTTCAAATTCCAAATCATGAACCTCCGCTTTCATCAACTTGGTACTCGGCCACACTTTATATGCATCTATTCGTGGTACGAATAGCAAATAACACTCACTAACTCTAAATAGTGTCATGACACGAAAATATGGGAAAAAGCGTCCTGCTGCAAGCGCGGCAGCTGTGGCCATTTTTGGATCCACGACTCAATCAGTTGCCCCAGTAAAGACAAATACCACTACAACCTCCAAATCTCAATCTCCACAGAGAGATCTTGCGGAAATCACGAATCTATTAGAAAACACAACTCTCTTAGAAAGTACCGACGAGGTGACTGTTCTTCTTGAGAAGACAAGTCTAGAAAGTCGTGTCAACAGTCTTAACAACCCTCTTGACCTCGAAAATATTGGTCAAGACTCTTCTTCTAAAGATTCCCCAAGTCTCTTAGACGAGACAACTGTGGACAGTACTATCGAAACGATCGTCAGCCTAGAGGAAACTTTAGCACCAATTGAACCTAAAATCGACGTCTCAATTCCTCATATACCCGTTTCCGTCTCCCCTACGCCACTCCCTATCAATCCACGCCTCGCAGCCTCCCTCTCACCTCTTTTGACCGCCTACGAAAAAGACAGCGGCTACCCACTAGCTACTAAAAACTGGGACGATGTTCTGGCACCCGGTTCGAGTATCCAGAAAATTGCCGAAGCGTCATATGCAGAAGTGTTTCGTATAACAAACCCAGTCGGGTCCTCAATTCTCAAGCTTCTACGCCTTAAGGTTCCTACAGATCCCACGTCAAAGAAGTCAAATACCGCAATCAAGGTGGAAACTGTCGTATCTGAGATGCGTCTTATGAACGCCCTTACAGAGATCCCTGGATTTGTAAAGTTCAAGGACGCGCACATAGTAGAAGGCAAACCGCCGGCAGCGTTTGTAACAGCATATGAAGGCCACTTAGACGCTGGTGGGGAATCGTATTTTCCACACCCTAACAAGATCTCCAAACACGCGGTTTTCTTAGCTATTGAACTTGGCGATGCGGGACATGTTTTGGAGAAATACCCAATAAAAAATGTCGATCAGCTGTGGGACATATTCTTAGGTGTCGTCGTCGCTCTTGCAAGGGCAGAAATAGAACATGAATTTGAACACCGCGATCTTCACGAAAACAATATTTGTATCCTCGAACGCACACCCCCACAGGCTGCTCCTAAACCGAATTCAAAATCACCCCACAAATTTGGCAACTCAGGTCTCGAAATAACAATTCTTGACTATGGCCTGTCCCGCGCCACCATCTATCCCGTCTGTTCCTCTTCAAATCCTTCTCCAGCCCCCGAAACAGTTTTCTACAACCTTGAATCCGACACTGCTGTATTCTCCTCTTTTGAGCCCTCCACTATTGCCGGAGTTCAATTCGATACCTACCGTCGAATGCGTGCCTATCTTTTTTCTGGCGGCGCCTCAAACACTAACGCCAACACACCTTCGAAAGCTATACGAGATGCTATCAAACAAAAGAAACATTCTTGGGAAGAATACATGCCATATAGCAATGTGTTGTGGTTGTACTTTTTGATGGAGTATCTGACGGAAGTGGCGCCAAAGGGAGGCAGGGGAAAACCGGGAAGACAGGCATGGGTGAGAGAGACAGAGGAGTTGAGGTGGCTTTTAGATCCAGATTGGGTACCTGGAAACGGTGCAAGTGATGGAAAGGGAGAACATGAAGGTGAGGGTGAAGAGGAAGAATTAGGCTTAGGATGTGCGGGAGATGTATTACAATATGCATTTGATATGGGGTGGGTTTGTGAGGAAGATTTAGGAGATGCAGACACGAGTCGCTTAAGTCTACGAGAAGATTCGTATGTTGGATTGGAAAAGAAGAAGAAACATCCGTCACCTTTAAAATAGTCAATTATTTGAAGTCGGGGCTTCATTTTGTTTAGACGGGTATTGTGTTACGGGCGGCGCTTTGGGTGTCCCGGTATGGTATGGCTTTTGGCGGGATGGAACTGGGTGGGTGGCGAATAATCTTTGAGGTTTCGATGGCTCTAGATAGCAAAGCTTTTATGGATTGCATGGAATGGGATAGCCTGATAGAATAGTTTAGTTTGGCTAGATCTGATTCCCGCTTTGGTTCGTGGAAATCTATCGTCAAATTGTATACGACGATGCTATTAATTAAATGCATGCATGCATAAATATGGGCGCTTTCTCAGTTTCACGAATGTGTATTTGAGATTATCATTAAGTAAACAACTTGCAGTGGAGAGAAATGATCGCCTATGAAAGATTTGCCCTTAATGCCTTGAATACAGATGTATCCAAATGGAAGTACATAAAATGCGGATTTGAGATAGTTCGATGGCATGATGAATGTTTCACTGTAAATTGAACTTGAATAAAGTTATGATGCAGATTCTTGGGGAAACGCATCAATCGAGGAATATTCATAACAAATTTAGCCAAGAACTTCTCAAGGGGGCTCATACGGTAATCTTGAAATGTACAGAAACACTAGGCTCCTGTACTTTTAATACTGACGGGCTGTCTAAAGGCTTATACCTGCTATAAGCTACTACCAGAATCAAAATTTCAAAATTTACAGTACTTCATGTTCTGAGGAGAGTTCATTTAAATATCAATTGCTACTAATCTCATCAAACAACCACGAAACTTTCCTCAAACAACTTAGCAGCGCTCGATACTTCCGCGCCCAGTTCCGCATGGAACAATTTCCTTCCCATCATGATACCTGTCATTCTTTTATACTGCAGGGGGAACGATTTCAGTCATGCCACCGCTGGGTGTCCATACACCGGTAGAAGTCTCGAGGCTATAACAATCAGAAGAAAGATCTAAATATGGCCCAGATTAACTCACTACTTTTGCTGGAAAACACCCTTTGATTTCTCAGTAATAACTGCATATACACCAGGTGATACGATTTGTATCTTTGGAGAAGATATTGAAGTACCCCCAAGACATGTCTGTGTAAAGGTACCAACCTCATTCCCTGTAATAGTTAAGGAACTTCGATATAGCTGCGCGTCGCTACCGATGCCAAAGACATCAAGACGACCGGGAGACACCGAGATTGCAGTGGGCTATATTAAATAATGAGCTCAAATTCCGCAACAATCAAGAAGCACCTACATGGTAAAAATAAGAACCACTAAGGTTCTGCCACTGCCCAAAGTTACCATTGTTACGAATACTTGAACGCATCAAATTGCAGTTTTCTCCAAACACAAAGATATCTTGAGAATTTTCTTTGCAAGAGACGATAACAGGATTACTGAAGCAATAGCAAGCAGTCTGGATTGTGTCCCAGTTAGGGGCACAGGAACGACTATCAAGATAGCCGGATAGTAATTGAGAATCACTTTGGCTAACGGCGACTATACGAACATAATTTGAAAAAGGGGTGACCGATATAGAGCTAGGCCGGCTTTGGGTCTATTAGCATTCATAACTGATCGACCTAGAACCTGGAAAGGTAGCTCACATTTTCTTAGTCGTCTCACCAATACTGTTCCACGTAAATGTTGTGCTAAGCAAGACTTTAGTTCCGAGATACATGCTCAATCTCTTGGAATAAAAAATGAACATACTTAGAGGTAGCGTTTCCCCCCCCCCAAGCAAGACCATCGTACCCTACCCCAAAGACTGCAAAATTCTCCTTGTTTGAGCCATAATTTAGGGCGACAGGCGTGTCCCAGAATTGTTTACCCGTATTGGCCCAGTTTGACCATCCTGTCGATGCGCTGTAGTACTTGTGGTTGCAATTACCATCGGTACCTCTATAGATAGTCAACTTCAGTCCATGATGTGCGCTTTGCTCGTGAAAGTCTTACACGGCAAAGCAGTGGACCGTTTTGTCTGGCCTAGAGACAACAACAGGATCTGTATATATTAAATCATGCTAGCCACTGAAAAGAGAACTTATCAAAGAATTTTATTCTTGCCGTAAATGAAGGTCATGCCACTTTATGTTCACAGACAATTAGCAATCTCACTACCCACGGGCAAATTTTCTCGGAAACAATTGTCTTGATACTTTGGGGATGACTGGGAACAAGAACAGGCCCTGTTCTAAGGGCAAGTGAAAGTAGATAGCAAAAGACTGCCACAAAACTTCAGATCTTTGAGAACGAAGGTGTGATAACAGGTAGAGGGCGACATGCTCCAGGTAGATTGTAACATCGAATTTGAAGATTTGAAGTAATGCCTCCACTCCCACTTTTCAAGGCCATAATTTGGGATGAAACTATCAATCGGGTATCAGTAAATAAATCAACTCACGAAATATCATTCTCGTCAACTTCACACCACTTCGTTGCCTCCCATTCTGTGTTGCTCAGCCATGTTAGATCGATGCATGATTCGAAGAGGCCAGTATTCTCAGCCCAAATTGCGGATTTTGAGCAGTGTAACTTTTTAGGAGTTTGAGAAACATACTTTCCATTCAGAGAGCTCTAGAAGATATGTCAGTTATGGGTTTGGAGTCAAATCTGCGTTGCTATATGTGTGATAAATATTAGATTTTGCGCACTAGCGCGTAAGCTGTGTAATTCATGGCTCTGGTAGCTCTGAATCTAGCTTGGTCATGCAAAATCGACACATTCTAGCAAACGTGAACCAAGAAGAAATTGTGGTCACTTTCAAGTTGATACCAACAATATCAGCTGATAAAAAGTTAAGACTTGGTGAGGATAATAGAAGATGCAATTTCAAAACAAGATGAGACAAGAGCTGGAGAAACTAAGTACATAAACTATAACTGACTGGTCCGTGCTGATAGACTCCATCTCTGCCTTCAATGTTGAGATAACAACTCCTTGATCAGGGGAAACAGCCATTTTTGCTTTCCAATATATTTATTAATTTATTCAATTTGAAAAAACGGGAGCCAGTAAGGAGAAGTTGTTGTTTGAGATATATTTGTTGTTTGGTATTTCGCATGCGAAAATTGAAAGTGGAAGAGTGAAAGAACTTGTAAGGAATTCTCAAGAGGAGGAACCACCTGGACAGGTCAAGTTTTAAATTGGATTTCTAATAGCTCGGGGCCACTGGGTTTCGTCTATCTATGAAATTTGATTGACACATCATATAACCAGTGATTGGAGCGGGAAATTGTAAATTAGATGGAAGTGATTTTACCGAGTTCTTAGTCTCAATCGATGAGGCAAAGGAGGTAATGATACTGCATGTATCACATGTGATTGGGAGAGATGGAACTCAATTTCCTTGCCGTGTACAACTGTGACGGTTGCATGATTGACTTGAGAATGACTCGTCCATAGCGGAGCGTAGACGCCCGTTGAAACAAGTTTGGATTAATTATGTACATCATGCCTATCTTCCTGCATGATGCCGAATGAAGAGAGCAGAGGGAGAGAGATACGAAAGCCACGTATCGGCATGGAGTGTTCACAAATATGCGTCTTAACCCCTTGTTCAACCGGCAATTCATGCTTGTACTCAGACTACTTCCCCGCTTCACACCATTCTCGATTCCGGAAGTGCGTCTTTTTGTCTTCCAGTAAAGGCTAAATTGTGAGTGATGTGATAATATTTTAAGTTCTGCAGGAGGGAAGTGATCGAAAAGAGGTATTCAGTGCATGAGCGGCTGCTTACGATTATATTGCGCTTTATGATTGTCAGGCATTTTCAGATCTATCGGAAAGCATTGTAAAGGTTGGCATTCCCTATCTCCCCAAAAAAAGTTTAAAGTATCATGCTTCAGGATGTCTAGGGATCTGTCGTCATACAATTTAGTCTCAATGACCGAAAATTCAAGTATCTGATGCCAAAAACTTAAAAGTGATCATTGGAAATCATGAACGAACGATATCAAAATGAAAATAGAACAACCAGGGAAAGTATAGAAATCAAAGCCATGGATTGAGTAAAGCTCAGTCCATAAATAAATTCCTGGATTGATCTAGGAGAGATCAATCGTGTGAAACTCCTCTTTTCTCATCGGCCTCCGCTTGAGTGACAGTATAGGGCGTTGGTTTTTGGCTATCTGCTTTCACTTCCAATACCAAAAACGTAGTCGCGCGTCCTTGCAGAGGTTTGATAGCCCTAATGCCTGTCCACACTTCATTTAGTTGCAAGACATGAAGGCCAGCACCCGATTTTGTGTGAACTGGTCCCTTCAGTTTCAATGTGAAAGAGCCCTTTGAAGGTACTATGAACTTGGATGGTAAATCTGTGCCATCGTGTGCAGTACCTAGAACAGCAGGGAGAATGTTTAATTGAAGCCCAGCATCGATAATACTTGCCCTCAAATCGAGTGCTTGGGTCATCTTTTCAGTCGTAATTGATCACGGCTTGACAGACTGAACGCTGGGATTTTTCACGTTCCAGTGGTCCAGACCAGTATCAAACAATGTTTTACCCTCCAATCCTTTCATTTTGAGGCAGATGACAGCAATAGACTTGAAAGCTATTCCATCATTGGAGCTATTCGAAAAGGTCAAGGTGAGATCGATAGTTTGCGCGGCGGAGTCATGTGCATCAACAAGAGATATCCAGCTTAGACGCGGACGCAGGGTTGTCACAGAATTGTCGGAAATATATTTTTCTGTGGAAACGTCGCCGGCGCCCCTCGCTTCCAAATTAAGCCAATCAGCCCGACTTTCGTTTGGACTGCGTAAATTTTTGGCATTTTAGTAACCAATTCCTATAACAAGGGGGCTCATTGCACTTACGAGAGGTTGATAGTTGCAAATGCACTCAGATCTTCATTGAGCATGGTAGGTCCGAATATAAACTCGCCATTCCCTCCATATATAACCTTATTGACATTCTGAAAAAGTTTCAAATCGCTAGCCAGTTTCGACAAAGCTCTGCCAATGTTGACCTTCATTGCTGACCGTATCAAAATCCATTTTGGATTTGATGGGGTTCCAGTAAGATTAGTAGAGAAATCATTGGGTATGATTATATCAAGTCCAGTGTATGGGTCTTCCTCTATTGTACATCCTTCCAAGATAGCTTTGGTACTGTTTAAGACCGCTAGATTGCCCACAGTATCCTGAGAACTACTCACGCTAATAGTGAATGTCCATGAAGATATATCGCTGATAACAAGGCTTTGCTATGTCAGTCTCTACTCGAAGAATAAATGGTTTCTCACTTACCTCGATTATTCGCTCCGGCAGGTATAGCCATATTCGCCGGTTACTTTTAAAGTGGCCATTTGTGGTCCAGCTTCTCTTGTTACTTTCGCCATAGATGTTGTTCTAGTCTTTCTTCCTGTGACACTCGCAAGGATACGGGTGTTCGCCCCCGTATTATCTTTTAGTTGTTCCCAACGATACGGTTTGCCAGCAGTTAAATCCGCCGTGTTACCAACCAAGCGAAGTCGTCGGCCAGGAGTCAGACGATTTCCACCAATCTTTGCCTCGGGTCCGAAAGGTATTGTCTGCATTGCTACACAAAGATCCTGTAGTGACGATAACAGATTGGTTTGCCCGGAAACAAGGCGGCGGTCGAGTATGAAAGTTCCAAGGTACTCATCACTTGTGCCTTTACTAGGCCCTGCTAAGTTCCCCTGTGGCAGAACGTCAGCTGTGATATCTGTTCCAACAGACAAAGTCAATTTTGTCTGTAGGTCATCATCTTACAGTGAAAGGTAAAAATTTGATTGTGGGAAGGTCTACTCTGCTTCCCACCACTTCGCAGAAGCAGAGACAATTATACGGGCTTCCATTTGTACCTTTCATAACTTGCCCATTCTTTGAAAATTGTGTCTGCCTCTCCTCGTCGATATAAGGGTAATTCTGCAACCGGAGCGCTCTGGAAGCTTGATTCAAAGTCAAAACAATAAAATCATAAGGGACTTAGAAGAGGGTTACCGAATGTCACCTTCCCACTACTAACTGTAAAGGGATTAGCTTCATCAACAATCGTTGCCAGTGAACTAACCTTTTGCTTTGGGTATTTTCAACAACATTCCTTGTGTGAAACAAGTCGCCAGCTTATTCTCCAAAGTCCATTCCCTCAAACATTGTTGGACCTCGTTGTAAAGAGCGTTGTTTGCAGGGTCTTTGGCCCACTGCTCAAGAGAGAGTTTTTGCTTATTGGGCTGCACCATGTATGAGCGCTCCCATATGATGCTTCCCCAGGAGAGATCTACATTGAAATGAATCAACTCTAGCCTCCGCAAGTTTCATAAGTTCTCACCAGCAATAGCAGCAAATAAGCGATGAATTGAGTATTCTCCAGGACATAGCTTCGTTGGCTTGTCGGATTTGAAGACCACATTGTCTACCGTGTCTTCCACATTTGCCGCCGCAGCAAGATCTCCAATTGTTGTATCTAGACAATTTTCAAACGAAAGTGGTGTGAAAGCAATCACCCAGCCATCAATCGTCTGATAAGTATTTTGGCCAAGGATAATTCTCCCCTGATCAAAGCGAAGTTGAAGCGTAAACTTGGAGCTATCACCGGATTCTACTTCGAGCCCTGCAAAGTTATCTGATCAGTACTCGAAGATGCGGTTGTAATATAGAGTTGATCCATTGACTAGGAGTGAGTTCTGGAATTGGTTCCTACCTATTTGAGGAGGCAGCATTGTAGCTACCAACTGTCCATCAAAAACATCTTCATTGCTCCAGTGAACTGATCTTGCTCCAAGCGGCTGCTTTTCAAAAAGTTTTTCAAAGCCTTTGTTGATGGCAGCTTGAGAAATGGCACAAATCTGATCATAATGCTGCAATGCATCGCCATTACCACTGGTGTCAAGCTTGACAGGGCCGGAAAAAAGACTCAAAGACATTGTGAAGCCTGTAAAGCAGAATGATTGAAATGCAAAAAGACACTTGACTCGCATACAATTTTGCGAAAAGAATTCAAGACCTTTGAGTGTTGAGCAATTTGTGGTATTCTCAGATATTCCAAGGATACCTGGGGAAGAAATAGCATGGGTGCAAGCATAGAAAATACGTGAAATTTGACTTGCTGACAATCGGGTCAACTACCTAGTAAGTATCACTGGCCTGGTTTTGTCATCAACGATGCAAACCAGTTAGTCTTGAGAGTGCAGATATGCAACATTACCCGTCGACAAAAAGATTAGTCAACGTTGCATCCCCATCTACAGAGTAGTGTCCTGCATATGTCTCGGAACAGTCGACCGAGGTTGATTGATGATGCAGAATACAGTGAGATGTGTTGGCTTACGTGCATATATATCCATGGATACCAAGCATAATAAGTCTTACGGAATTTGGATGCGGAAAAGGGTTCCGAAAATAAGCTTAATTTTCGTGATTATGGTTGAACTGCGGCTAATTATGGTAAATGGGTAGTTACCGGGTTTTTGGTAGTCGGCTCTGCGGCTAGAAAATCACGTGAATCAGAAAATCAAAGAACTTTCAAAATCTGAATATGATGATCATTGCCTACCACTACCTCTGGTACATTCACATTCATGGGTGCAACCTTCCAAGTCAGTTGAATGTGCCAATCAAATCTGAGTAGCAACAATTTTTGATCATCCCGTATAGGACTGTTGAATAAATGAGAGCGGAGGTAGGCTCAACGTGTTTCTTTTCCCACCTACCACGATGCTATCCAGGTTCTCGTCGCTCATACATATCGCTTCATGCACATTTCACGATAATAAATATTGAGCTTCGATGAGCCTCTTCTTCAAGGTCACAGGCTGCGTTGTAGGGGTTCAGGAACTACCTAGGTATGTTGAGAAGATAACTCATCATCTCCCACTTCCGAAAGCACGAATTGACCTTACTGATCAAGACACGACTGCATATTTAGCGGTACAGATTGCATAAGTGGAGTTGAAGAATGGCAGGGAATTTCAACTACCTGACTCGTATCGTCGTATTGTTCTGTAATGCATCCTCAAGTATCACCAGATCGATCGTGGAGCAAACGCTTCCGCACAATCTTGCGGGCTGCATTGCATTGCATACAATCAATTTATGCAAAATGTTTCAAGCTGAACAAATTGGATATTTCGATCCTTGGACAGCACTGCATTCTACCACCTCGTTCCACTGCAGAACGTGACGCCGAGGCCGGAGGAGGGGCGACGTGGGGTTCAGATCGGTTATGGGATCAGCGTACGAGATAACATCGGAAACATGATAGAAACCACGATTAATGGACACTCATGATAGTTGGGGATAATAAACTTCAAAGTCAGCACCAATTTGATCACAAATAGCTTCCTTCAATTGGTATCGTAATAAAGTCCCCAAAATTCAAGATCAAGATCAAAAGCATACTGCCGTAACTAACATATTCGCCATGCCTTTTTTCATCGAGGCCATTAAAAATGATCTTCTTCCCGACAACCTCAACGAGAGATTGAACCATGCCAGCGAACTTTGGCCTGGAGATCCTCGATCAGCCATTGATTGGTTCCTCGAGGGAGGAAATGTACCAACGGAAACCATTACCGCCATGACTTTCGTAAGATCGCTTTTATTTTACTTGGACGACGAGGAGTACGTTTGTGGTCAACTCCTAACACTCTTGAGCTCCTACACCCTTGAAGGCCTGGCATTATTGCTTTTTCCTCGCAGTCTGCTGGATCAAAAAGTGACAGCAACGCCAGCCAGCTTCCCGTATAATTGGACAACCACCAATTTGACAATTGACAAACTAGAAGAAGTGCGCGCTGAATTCCTCGACAATCACTCACTTATCGTGTTGCTCATTCTGCTGAGAGAGAACAAGTTCTCCATCAACGGGCGCCCTCAACAAATTGCCGATTGCATTCTGACCGCAATGATCGGTGATGATCTTGAAATCGGATCACCAGAGCTTCTAGTCTATGTGAAGAAATACTTTCCAGACTTGCAAGATGCAGAGTTCTCAGCCGTGATTGGAATCATCAAGACTTTGAAAATTCTTTCTAGTATCGTTGAAGATCCTGAAGACGTCGTGAACCTCTATAACTCCAACTACCATTCTGTACGAAGCATCACAGCCCAGTCAAAAAGTAACTTTAAAAATGCTTTGGTCACAGCTGGTACCAGCGTCGAGAATACACTCAAGATATACGACCACGCAGAACGTGTCGATTGCTGGAATGAGCAACTCTGACTACATTTGATAAATTCCCATAGAGCAGATTCAGTCATGATTGACCCTTATTTTGAAGGGGAGACCACAAATGTACCAAGTGATGAAAGTTGGATGGGAAAGTCCCATAACAATCTTACCGATATCTTCCGGCTCGAAGATACGACTTGTGAGGAATGCTGTTCTATCACATCCCTGTCCGCCTATTTCGCCGACCTTTTAAGCTTGCTCAGTAACACGACGCCGACGGGCAAAAACGCAGAACATGATAACCCGCCAGGCACTCGGGATAGTCTGATGAATATCCTGTCACAGCGGCGTCCAGATCTTAGGAACCTTGAACTTACCTGTGCGAATTCTCAGACTTTGATTCCGTACATCAGTCTTGTGAACGAGGTGCTTGAATCTTTCACCCGCCACAAGTGTCTCGGTTCGCCAGATTCTATCCAAGTATTCAATACTCCTATTGATGCCCAGGACAATGAACATTCTCCTACACCACTCAATTTACCTGGGAACACAGACTACGAGGTCTATTCCAAGATTATCTCAAAGCAGAGATTTCCTTTTACCTGCTTTCCATACGACCAGGCGCGTAATATGGTACTCTCTTACTTTGACATTTTTCAAGTAGCGCATTGTGACTTCGTTGAGAAATTTCAAGCAACAGAGACTATTCTGCAAGTAATAACAGCAACAACTACAGATGAAGTGAAGAGATCGCTGAATTCAGGAGCGAAAGAAGTCTTGCAGAGGCAAAGAGCTGCAGAAGCACTGGGCCTGCATCAGATGGAATTTGCAGCTATTACCGGAGAAAGCTTATACCCACAATCCTTCAGTGACCTCCTCAAAGGTCTTTCAAGTGACACTGTCATTGATACGAGAATACAAGAGCATGAGTTTTGCCAGATGTGGGGGTATGAGGATGATGAAACAATGCTAGGCGCTATCGAGGGCCTAACGCAGATCAAGAGTCAATTGATGCAGAGGTCCGGGCTAGAATTTCAAGATGTCCTCGACCTTGTGAAGACCCAGCTTTTCGACCAGCAGCTGGTCATCACCAATGAGTCTGGATCCAATGAGTTCAACGAGTCACTCGCGGAGCTTAGACTATTATCGAACGCCTCAGAGCCACCATTTCAGCCTCTTACTTCAAATATATGCCGAAACATTCAATCCTTCCTACGCTTGAAGGCAAGGCTTGGGTAGTCAACCAAAGTGCTCGATGCTGCTATCCACTGCCTACGCAATAAGGAAATGGAGAGTTCGCCATCTTTCAGATCAAACACTGTATCTCAAGTCGCTTCGATTTCCGTATACGTCATAAAAGGAATTGCCTCTATTGTAAAGCTGAGTGACCTATGCGGTTTGGAACCCGCTGCTCTTCTTCCTCTATGGGGTCTCATCGATTCATTTGGCGACGAATCTCTCCTTCATCGCAAGTTTCTCAGCTCTTCTTTGGGAGAAATATTCGCCGTTCCCAAAGACGGTACATACTTCCAATCTGGAGGGAAGGCAGTCAAAATTCAAGAATGCGGTGCGAGCATTTGTGCAAGCCTCAATTGGCGCTTTGAGTACTTCAATGATCTACTCACAGCCACGAATCTGGCAAATTATGACCTGAATATCGAGTCATTTTCTATCTTGTATCGGTATGTTACTATATGTCGAATACTTTCTGTCGCTCCCAAAAAATGTGTACCATTCTTCAAGATCTTCTTTGACAAGGAAGATTCGTTGGCAAATCCTAATAAGACACTTGCTGCTATTATGAATTGGACAACGTTACTGAACTCAGGCTGGACTATTGAAACACTTATTCTAGCTCTTGGGAAATCGACGAGCGATGAAAGCAGTATTACTGGAGGAAACCCTGGACAAAAGCTCACGAGTGCGATACTGGATGGGACTAAAGACTTGAGAAAATCACTTTCATCACTTTTTAATGGAGCCATGCCCACCCATGAGACTATCGTCGAGTGTGCAGGACGTGCCTTTGACTCAATTACGGCCAGTCTGGTCGTTGAATTTTTGGAGGGATCTCAGATTCGAACCAATAGCGCAACTCTTGACACACAGCAAAATCTACAGAGCCTCATAGATAAATCCAAAAACTGGCCAGCCAAGATTTCGGTAGTTTCTTCCTCGACAGCAAATAAATGGTCTGTCCAGTTCAAACTCGCAGGCATATTGACGACGAATGAGAAGCAGCAGATTCTAGATGGGTGTGCCGAATTTCCTAATGTGAAGACCGTATTACAGAATCTCATTGAGATCTCTCTCTTTCCTCGAGCTGTCATCGAGTCCCGATTTAAGAGCAACACAAACATACTCACAAACAACATCCTCTTGCAAAACTGGGCCCCAACCCAGCTTTCTGCTAGCCCAGCCCCCTCTGCGAATGACATTTTGATTGAGGCCGAGTCACAGGTACAAGCACGACGGGTTGCTTTTGTCGATATGGCGAAACCTGTGATTGTTCAAGACACTCTCACAACATCTATTCTCAATATCATGAAAGATCTCACGGAAGGTGTTGATATGACAGTTCTTTCAACCCTTTTCACAGACACTGTGAAGGTGTCCACAAATGAAAATGATGCACTTGAATCAGCCATGGCAGCTCTAAAACGACTCAGCGTACCAGTTGAAATCATGGCTACAGCAGAGACGCTAGATGCTTACTTCACACCCACGACAACAGACGATTTCAAACTGCACTATACTGGTGCGTTGAACAACACTATGAGTCTAATGATAAATGGGATCGAGGTACCGTTTGATACCAACTCGAAAACATGGAACGCATTTCGCATGAATGCCAGGCAGCCATATCTTCTACAGAGCAGCATTCCTCCGTCTCAGATCTCATGGTCAACATGCAGATCAATGGCTACAACCTTCACTGATGAAGAGCTTCAGCGATCAAAGTCCATCCAACGAGCAAAACTGATTTTGGAGGCCATCCAAAGAGCAGTGTGCATTTGCCGAAGTGTAAAACTCACAACATCAGAGCTCGAATACATCAACAGAACGGGAAAAGCAGAAGATGATATGCTGTCTATGAATCTTAATACACCATCTCTCATAAACTTGGTGCAGCTCCAGGAGTACCGCGAGTTGAGGGATAATATAATGATCGCGGACAGTGACCTAATCAGCCTTTTCTCGTGGCTGAACAATCCTAAAAATCCAGATATGAAGACACTTGCAACCAAAATTGCAGCAAGCACTGGTTGGAAAGATGCCTTAGTAGAAAGCATCCTCAATCCAAAATACCCGAATCATACTCCTGCAGATCTTGTTGTAGTTTTGAGCAACCACGATGCCTTCATCAGCCTTAGAGCCATTCTTGCTTTCTACGAGGGTCTGGGTAGCGCATCTGATGCTAACTCCAAGCCTCTTATGTCAGAGTTGTTTTACTTTGCGAAACCTCGATCACAGCTCAACAGTGGAGATACATACATGGAAGCCGCCAAGAATCTGCAAAAAAAATTGACACCTTCACAACGAGAGGCGTCAAATGAAAGTTTAATGGAGAGCCAGCGCAAAACTCTCGTAGCTTATCTTCTGCAACAAAAGTTCATCACCCGAGACCTTGGTATTTGGGAACCGGATGGACTGTTTGAGTATTTCTTGGTCGATGTACAGATGGGGCCACAAATTCGAACTTCACGCATAAAGACAGCTATCTCGGTCGTGCAAATGTTCGGTCAACGCTGTCTCCTCGGAATGGAAGAAGGAGTTTCGAAATCAGTTCTGGGGCATGAAAAATGGGATTGGCTACAACAATACACTCTTTGGGAGGTGCATAGGAAGATTTTCTTGTATCCTGAGAACTGGATCGATCCATCGCTCCGAGACGACAATCCGAGCTTTTCGATCAATTTGAGGCTACCTTGATGCAGAAAGACTTAAGCATCAAGATATTCCTTCAAGCTATCCAGAGTTATTTGTATGATCTAGATGGAATCTCAAGTCTCGATATAGTCGCGTATGTTCATGAACCGCAACCAGCAGCATCGGACATTTTTCACTTGTTCGGCCAGACACGTAGTGGGCCGTATACCTTCTACTACCGTACCCTGACGAGATTGAGGACCGCTGAGGTATTTTGGCAGCCATGGTCCAAGGTAGAGGTCGACATTGCGTCAATTGAGACGGAATGGGAGGGCCAAAGACTCGTGGATACAGGTAGTTATTTGCTTCCAATAATGATTAAGGGTAGGTTGTACTTGTTCATGCCATCAATTGTGCCCAAGACTTCAGTGAAGAACATCTCAAGTATGTCCAGAGTATTAACTTTTGACGCTCTGCGCAATGAAAATCCGAATATGGCGGAGCCTGTGCGCATCTGGGAAATAACAATGGCGTGGACAGAATTTGTCAACGACAGTTGGGCACCCAAGAGAGTTTCCTCGGGCAGTCTCAGCGTGGGCTTAGAGGCGTCTTCATCTCAATTTCGGGTCGATCCCACGTTACAAGAAAATACTTTGACACTTCAGGTCAGCTGCGGTGAGGCTGGAAAAACCACTTCCAAGGCCATTGGTTCATTTATATTCTGCAATGACCAAATAAGCACTTTGAATACCCCAGCAAGCCCTGTCAAGACAACTTCATTTGCAACATACTTTCAAAAAGCATTGAAACAAGGAATGGATCTTGAAACACTCCCCGGGGGTTCCAAATATACTGATTCCTCGCCTCTGATTTGGGTGCCACCCGAGCTGGAGAGTACCAAGGGAGCTTCAGATATCTCCTGGACTTTGTCAAAATTGCCATGGAGGGTGACAGGACTCGTTGTCAGCGCGAAGGTTAGTGAGGGTAGAAGAGCAAGTTTCTTCAACATACCAAAAATGGAGCTTCTCAGTTCGACATGGACCCAAGACATCATCAATAATAATACGGAACTTGTTTCGATTGACCACATATTTTCGCACGAACTCATGGAAGCTACCGCTGACCGAGTTGATCCGCTACGCTGCCTGTATAAAAAGATAGCACAGCTACCTGCTGGTGTGATGCGAGAAAGTTTTGGGGCTGGTAGTCATGAAGCATGGTAATATTCCCCAGCTCACTTCACTTCTAGCATTAGTATTCCAATAGATGGCTGACCATGAAATAACACAGGTACCATGAGCTGGGACGTCCTACCGCTCTTTATAAGTAAGTCTATATCTCCTTCGAGGAAGAAACAAAACACAAAAAGGATATGAAGCTATAATAGCCCGTTTGTGGGATTTTGAGAGAAATCATTTTCTCTTCCCTTTGAGATAACACGTATTGGTTTTTATAATTCAAACTTTCTCGACGCGGAAGTCGATTGAGAGAATTCATCTTCGATAGGATTTTGGTTGTTTCAAGTATATGCGATGAATTAAAAGATTTAATATATGTGAAGAATTTGCTGGGAATGAAAGCTAATCACGGTATAATTGGGAGGTTGGCCTACACACGCTGCTATTGGCAGTCGATCGATTTTCTGCCACCCAGCAATACGAAGAAGCATTGGAAGTTGCAGGACTTGTTTTTGATCCATCTGCTGATCTAGAACTCAACGTGGATGACAAATCGACTTATCGGTCATGCTGGCGATTTCCTCCGTTCCAGGAAATGGCACGACAAATTGCCATTTGGGGTGAGACTTCATTTGATCCTTTGAACCTTGACCATTTGAGCAAAGAAATCCAACTTGCCATTACAGAGCGTCGGTCGTACGGTTCACTTGTGCATGCCGCGGCTAGGGGAAGACCAATCAGTTATATGAAGTGGATAGTGATGAAGTACGCAGAGATCCTCATCGCAATGGGTGATGTTTATTTTCGCCGGGCTTCGCTTGAAAGCTTACCGATAGCTACGCAGCGATACATCGAGGCTGCGCGAGTTCTAGGAAAGGAACCGCCCAAAGTACCGGATTTAGGGAAAAGAAAAAGGAAGGCAATGACCTTTGAGCAACTGAGAGAAGAGGATATCATGTATGACTCTGTCGTATTCGACTTGGGCTTGCCTTTCTCGGCCAAATTGAAGAAAGGCGCAGCGGAGACAGCAGACAGAGATCCAAAGAAAGAGAACATCGCGTGTTTCCTCCGAACGAACTATTTCTGCGCCCCTCTAAATCCTAAGTTCAAGCAAATGCGAAGGCTTGTTCACGAACGCCTTTACAATCTCCGAAATTCCTTCGACATTCAAGGAAAGCCGGTAGTCTACGGCCTTCGTGAACCGCCGATTGATCCAGGAGCCTTGATAGCCCTTAGCAAAAGAGGAATGGGAGTATCTGATATCCTTAGCATGGTTTCTGGTGAACGAAGTAGTCCACTACCACGGCAGCGGTTTGATGCTCTTCTTCAGCGGGCTTTAGCATTATGTACCGAGGTGCGCGAACTCGGAGAGCGTCTTGTAGCCGTAGTTGAAAAGAAAGAGATGGAAACCTCCAACATCGGCAGCGCCCAGCATGCTTCAGTCAAACAGAAAATGATGCTGGATATCAAGAATGTTGAGCTTGAAGAGGCACAGCAGACTGTTGAATCGCTTTTGATCAATCGTAGCTCGCTGGAGGCGCAATTGAATTACTACCTTCAACTTATTGGCGAGCCGGATTCCACGATATCAAAGCCCAAAAATGATTGGGTAGATATTCAGCAAAGTATTGATACCCCCACAAAAGACGAACTTCGAATGTCTTCATATGAGAATGCGGAAAGTACGTCGAACATTTCACAAGCTTTACAACATAGTGCTCAAAACCTTAAGTCCTGCTGTGCCATTTTCTTTAAGCAGATCTTTTCCGTTTCCTGATATGACATTTATTCCCCAGAATCCCAGAAGACTCTTGAGCATGCATTACTGACTTCTTTATTATTAATAGTGACAAAATCTCTCGCTGCTGGAGCCAAGAATCGCTCAGCAATAGCCACTGATGCACTCTCAATGCTTCTTAATCTCGTTCCACAAGCAACAACTGACTTTGAACCTCTTGGTGTCGGTGGATCCATTTCATTCGCTGGAAGCGCCATTGCTGACGCAGTAGCGGCTTCGTCCACATCAGCGAGAGGAATTGCAGCTGTTTATGCAGATGAAGCCGGCCGAGCAGACAAGAAAGCTAGTCTAACGATGCAGTTACGGGAACGAAGACTCGCAGCAAATATGAGTGGCCGTGAAATCAAGTCAATTGACAAGCAGGTCGAAATCCAGAAATTGCATATCACTTCAATTCAAAAGGACATTGAGATACAACAATCTGAAATAGAAGATGCAGCTGGGGCCGAGGAGTGGTACCGTACCAAGTACACCAGCGAACAATTGTATACATGGATGGAGAAAATCTTCAGAAATCTTTGTTTCCAGGCTTATGAGCTCTCAATGACCATGGCACTTCGAGCAGAGAGCTCGTTCAACTTCGAAGCCGGCAGCAAGAGTTCAATAATCAACAAGGGGGGGGTATTGGAATGCTTCTCAAGATGGTCTTCTTGCTGCCGAAAGTCTTCACCTAGACCTGAGACGACTCGAAAGCGCTCAATTAGATTGTACAGCTGCTGATTACAACATCAGTAAGACTGTTTTTCTGAAAGATTTCGATCCCATGGCGTTGATGAAACTCAGAATCACTGGAACAACGGACTTCTCCATTGGCGAACTCCTATATGAGATGGATTTCCCTGGTCATTACATGCGCAGAATTCGATCTGTTAGCGTCTCGGTGCCATCAGATATAGAGAATGGAACTAACACGAATGCCGTCTCGACATTGCTACAGCATAAGTATCGCGTAACACAAAACGCAGCTGACTATGCTGCTTCCCAATCTGCTACTGGGAGCGAATCATTTAGAACCGACCGGATTCCGATAACAGCAATAGCGGTAAGCTCTGGCACAAGAGACCCCGGAGTATTTGAGCTCGACTTCTCTGGTCCCCGGTACATGCCATTCGAGGGCGCCGGTGCTATTTCAACATGGCGTCTAGAATTTCCAGCACCAATCCGTCATTTCAATTATGAGTCGATTGCCGATGTGCAACTACACATACAGTACACTGCTTACGAGGGAGTTCCAACATTGAGAAAGGCGGCGAAAGACGCGGTTGTCCAAGCAGCTCAATCCATTGAAGCTCAAGGTCAACATCAAGGATACTGGGCAATTTGGGACCTCAAGACTGACTTTGCTGTAAAATGGGTGGATTTTGGAAAAGCTCTTCTTAACCCCAATGTAGAAGCAACTCTGGACCTTGGCAATTTGAAAGATCGTCTGCCTTTCTGTTCACGTCATCAATAGGAACTCCAGGCTCAGTCCTTCACGTTGATGTCTCGGAACAAAAACGTAAGGGACAGATAAAGTTTATTGGTTGATCCAAATTTACCTGCATACAATGGGGTCGATGGCATTTACTCGGGTGATCTCTTTACCAGAAAATGCGAGATGACTTAAAAGAACTTGAATTGGAAACTTAAGGTGAAAGCAGTTTCAGTTGTAGTGGTCATGAGCGAAAATGTTTATCTGTTTGTTCGTTATATTTATGTCGGGAAGGACATCTCATAATTGGAGAAGTTCATGTTTGCTTTATGTATGCTGTTTCTGGTATAAGGGATTGGATGAGTTGCGGTGGCTTTTGATGGAAACAAATTGATATGTTGTAATTTGTATGTTTCTTTGCGATACTTTTTGACAGTTCTTGAGGTGCAGGGTGATCGGCGTTCACCATTGTCACGTGACACCACTAGCTCTTCTGATGTTAATTTCAACATTCAACAAAAGCTCATCCACTGGACATGTCTCATGATTGTATCCATTCTGAGGGAGTGCATTGACAGATGGAATATATGTGAAGCACATGGATCTTGAATCTCAGGAAAAGAATATGGTATCTCGAAGTAAGAGAGGCCCTGAGACCCTCTCCCCCTTCATCCAATATTCCTTGTGATTATGCGATGTTGATGACCCATACACTGGAGCTTTGGCTTTAGCCAAACAAACCCGTTCCAATCAATATTGGTTGGCTTGTTTGAGGATGGTGCATTCCATGTGACTTTGAGCCCAGTTAGGTTTTTAATATTATAGACAACACCCTGAGTAATCTGTGACCCTATCAATATCATTTGAAGTACTTCGTACCAAAGCAGCGAGCGAGCGTGTCAGGCAAACCCCACCAAATTGTATTTCTTTATTCTCCTCTAGATGTTTCCTCTACCAACTGTCATGCTATCTCTTCAACCTCTTCAGTGGGTGCGCCTCCGTATTCAACACCCATTCATCGAGGCTCACCACATCCCAGTCACTGAATACCAGGTAGAAATACTTCAACGTCTCTGCTAGCCAGAAACTCTCCATACTATCTGCCTGTTCCACTCCTTCTTCTTCACTTATTCCACCCAAATTGTCGGCGAACCGCTCTTGTTTCACATCTCCATTCTTGCCCTTCACCTTTCCCTTCTTATCCACCAACGCCTTGACCGTAACATCCAGTATCGCCGCCGACGCAATCTCCGTCCTGCAAATCTTTTCAATCGCCTGGAACATTCTCCAAGCGGCATCCATATATTTCCTATCCCCCGTGATTCTCCACAAAATCCACACACTTTCAATAGCCTCCGGCCTCAAAATATATCTCCGATCATCTATCGCCGTAAATCCCGGACTTAATCTTCTGTCCTCTATAATCCCATTCAATTTTTTCTCCGTCTCCTCTTTCGTATTCGTAATTGGATGTGTGTATATAGCTGCGAGAGCATCATACCATTTCTGTTTCGAATACGTACAATCGTGATCTTTAGGGCACGGAACCACGCTGAAAATTTCGGGTGCGATGCCATTTGGACTATTATCATATGCCCATATACATCCATTTGTGAGTTCTTCGGCTAAGGCGAGGTCGGAAGGGCGATTGAAAATTTTCGAGGCGATTCCAATCATGCCACCAGTGAAACAAGTGAGATGTTGACCACGAGGAATAAGCTCCGGAGTACTGCTTTCGGCCATGCCTTTAATGCGTATATCTCCTGATACTCTGATTTTCTGGTTCTTTTCGTTTAGGATTGGAAAAAACATTTTTTCCTGGGCTACAGAAATAAAGCTTTCGTACATGTTCTTTGGTTGGTCTAGAATTCCCCCGAGAATCATGAATTGTTTTGGTAAATATTCATAAGTAGAATCCGACATACCACCCATAGTAAACATAGTATCTTCGTCAAATCGTAGCTTTTGAAGATCAATACTGACAGGCCATAATCCAGGATATCGAGTAGAGTTCTGACTTTTCTCGAATTCATCAGAGATACATTGCACTGCATCATAGTATTTTGGATTTCCGGTCAACTGACTAAGTCTAGTGAATTCGAGACTTAAGGAGCCTGGTTCAGAGACAAGAACTCTTCTGGGCGCTACTTGATCCTCTCCTTCTAGATACCTACGCATTGTCAATAGCGTTCTTGTCAGACCAGAGCAATAGTACCTACTTCTGCCAATCCCATCTAGGAATTGGCATTCTATTCGGGGTATCAAAACAACTCATCAACAACTCCGCAACCTCCACAGCCTTCAATAACAAAATCGGATATTGCGCTCCACTAATATCATACGCCGCCAGGAACCCACCCATATATCTAATCGTCGTTTCAAAAACATTGATATCCTTTTGCTCCGTTGTCGTAAAATCGATTCCCTCGATCGATCGCACCGCGATTTCAAAATCTTCTTTTAACCCCATAATCCACAAAGTATCCAAGGAATCAACCAGTGTTGCGGCCCAGCCACCAAAAGTATCTTTCCAGGACCCTGATAGAGGAGAGACCTCATCTCGTAACCATGCGTGCGCTTTATATCCCTCCCAACTGTGTACGAAACTCTCTTTAACAGCCGCCAATCGCTCCAATCTCTCTTCCTTCTGCGCCGCGTCTTCTTTAGGAGGCGCACTTTGAATCTGCGGGATCTTCTTCGCTTTTCCCGTCGGCAAAGGAATGTATGAAGTTACTGGATATCGTTCTGGTAATTTCGACCAATGGGTTTTTCCATCTGGCAGATGAGGTCTCGTAATCGAAGATAAATAATTCGTGTCATAGCTCCAAGTACTGCGCCGTGAATGAAGGTAATGAAGACTAAAAATCATGAACACCGCAGCTATGAATGCTGCTCTCCATCTTCTAATGATTGACGGCATATCTGCAGCAGCGTTTACTGCTCGAACAATTGAGATAGCAAATTAGAGGAAGAAAGGTTGGAAATATTATGTGTCACATTCCTTGAATGTTTGACCTGACTTTAATGATTGATTGCTTTGACAGCAACTTTGTCCTTCATCCGATGTGCTTCGTTGAAACTCACAAGTTGATAGAACAGCACTCCGTAGACTCCAAGAAAAGAACAATCACGGAGCGAAATGTCAAGAACGAAAAGATATAGGAAAAGAAATGAAACTGGCCATGAAAGAGAGGCCGAGCTGGACATCCAATTTATCTACATGCTGCCGAGGAATGTTTCAATTAGTTTCGTTCAGTCTGCATCATAGCTAAAAAGTCGATGACTCGCCAAGAGATAATAATTGAACCCTGCGGTAAGGGATCGAAGCCAGAAATTAGCATCTCCGTACCCACCAGGACCGACCGACTGGGATTCTCCCCACTGCCCAATGTGGTGTTTCACTACATATTCTACGTAGTATAGAAACTTTAAAAGAAGCACACAAAAAACAAAAGACAATCGACATCCTCATAAGGGGTGGTCGCTTATGGTTACCAACATCTCAATCTGTTGGAGCAGGAGCAGGGTTACTATTCGATTTCGGTACCGTGTGAATGGTTCCCTCCAAGTTATATATTTCTAATACGCTTCCCTTCTCTCGTTCCTCTCCAACCAAAAGCTAAACGGCTGTACCCACTTTCAATTGTGATATCATCAAGTTGATTGCAAAGTACCACTAATGATGATCCACAAGTTTCCCCTGAAAATCTATATTGTTAAATAGTTATCAAAGGCCATACACAATTTCAAGGGGAAAGAGTTACTAAGTCTACTACTCCTCCCTTGGTATCATATTTGCTCGATACGAATCTCCAGGATATGAGACTGAAATTGGCTGATGGGCTCGTTTTCAATGTTAGTCTATGAGGATATTTATCACAATTCACGATTCACATAACCAATAATGCATCATGAAGACTCTAGTGAAGGGTATTAACAAGACAATAAGATGTCTGATGGGTTATCATTGATCATGAAGGTCACTAAAAACGGCAACGCTCTACGTGAATGTCAACCAGCCCAGTCCTACGCCCACAAGAATTCTGGATGTCCAAAAGACTCGTGATGTGTACGCCGACTATTCTCCCTCTCAACAACAAAAGACCACGCAAAAAAAGCAAGCTCGATTACTTTTGCATCATAAGTTGTACAAATTCGTTGTCTGTGAATGACCATTAGCATATGAACTTCGAGAGAAAAGGATGATGAAGGGACCCATACAGTCGATTCTTCCGTCACCATCTTGATCAGCCTCTCTAATCATCTCATCAACCTCATCATCAGTCAACTTCTCTCCGATGGAGGTCATGACATGGCGAAGTTCAGCAGCGGAGATGAAACCGTTGTTGTCACGATCGAAGACCTATACCAACGACATATCAGCCTCTGCCACAATAAATGACTTATAGAATTCCAACCTTGAATGCTTCACGGATCTCTTCCTCAGAGTCGGTATCCTTCATCTTTCTTGCCATCATAGTAAGAAATTCTGATCGCGTCAGCGTTCTGAGTCATAGATTTCATTGTGTTGCGCCATACCTGGGAAATCAATGGTACCGTTGTTGTCAGCATCGACCTCGTTGATCATGTCTTGCAACTCGGACTCGGATGGATTTTGACCAAGGGATCGCATAACGGTCCCCAACTCCTTGCTAGTGATTTGTCCTGTAGATTCATATATCAGTGCTGACCTTCTGTATTGTTCTGCCAGTTTGTGTGGTTGTCCCCAATTGTTGATACGATTGTGTGAGATAGGGGCTGCGTTGGTCGAGATGGCAAGTATGTGACCACAGGGGGGTTTTCGAGATCTACAATATCAAAGGAATAATATGGAATTACGAACCATCACCATTCTTGTCCTATAAACCCACAGCTTATTAGCTTTCGAATCTTCAATTATGCCCTGCCAAGTGTCCATAGGGCTGAGAGTATCGAGGTGGGAATATGAACATACAAATAGGGAGAAGGCCTCCTTGAACTCGGAGACTTGCTCTTCAGTAAGAGAATCGGCCTATATAGATGCGCATGTTAGTTGCGATCTTCTTATCCTCCATCATCATATCCCTTCCCATGTCCTTTCCCTCTAACATGAAGCTGTAGCTTCAAGTTGAGTGCTGAAAACCGCGGGGTTGTTTAAGGTGCAGCCTTCTTGAAAAATGGAAACAAACCATTGTTGAGTATTTGGTTGGAGGTAAGTATGATAACTTTTTTGGCTTGAAGTATTTCTAAGGTATATGAAGAACTGGAAGAACGGTTGTAAGGTTGAAATAAGGAGGATCTTGTTGTGTTGTGGGTTGTGATTGCGATTCAACTGTTCAGATGCTTGGATGCGGTGAAGCATAGATGCCATAATGGTCAAAAGTGGTTGCTGTACGGTAGCCGAATGACATAAAAGGTCTGGGGGTCTGGGATTCCTCAGGCGAAGAGGTCGAAGCTGGGGAGAGCTTAGAATCATCAAAACAAGACAAACATGCGACATTCAATAACAAAGTCCAATAAAAATTGCAATTCCTTGAGTTTCTATGCGAAATTCTTCTTTTATTATATTCTGTGATACTGTAAGATTCATTTTCAATCGCCATGTGGCGTGATCGTACAAATCTGTATGTTCAAATTGCTGTTATCCCTTCACAAGCTTAGATAGATACTGACACCTAATCTATCAGCTATATCTCCTATCGACAGTCATACGCACATCACCCCGCAAAGAAACCAAAATATTCAAGCTCTTCTGGCAATGGATACTCAGATAGTATTGGAGGAGCCTCGGAGGAACGCAGAGGACTTATGTCCGCTGGCGCATTCGAAGATGATGGTGATGCGATAATAGAAATGGATTTACTACCACCAAGATGGGCAGACATCAGCGACGAAGTTACAGAATATCTTACGGATATCGCAAACAAGAGTCAAAAATTGGAGAAACTACATCAAAAACATGTATTGCCAGGATTCGACGATGAGGAAGTCAAGAAAAAGGAAGAAAGGGAGATTGAATTATTGACACAACAAATTACTAAGGGATTCCACGATTGTCAGAGGTCAATTCAGAGAGTAGAACAAATTGTTCGTGACTCGCGGCATCAAGGAGGTATAAGTAAAGGAGAGGAAACCATGGCAAGAAATATTCAGATTTCACTAGCATCGAGGGTACAAGAAGCAAGTGCGGGATTCAGGAAAAAGCAAAGCACCTATTTGAAGAGTGAGTTCACAATGCATTAGTTGAAATCGCCATCGTAAGATGTCAAAGATACTATATTGACCAATCATCAGAGTTACGAGGCTTAGGAGGTATGAATGCACCTATTGAACGAACGTCTACCCCTCTTTACAGTAATTACATCGACCCCTCCATCATGGAATCCGATGCCGATAAATCATTCTCCCAAGCAACCCTCCAACAAACCTCTCAAAAACAACTCACCTCAAATGATGCAGCCATAATGCAACGAGAACGTGAAATCAATGATATCGCACAAGGTATCATCGAACTCGCCGACATATTCAAAGAACTTCAGACTATGATTATAGACCAAGGAACAATGTTGGATCGCATAGACTACAACGTGGAAAGAATGGCAGTAGACGTCAAGGCTGCAAATGTGGAACTAAAAGTTGCAAGCGGATACCAAAGAAAAGGAACGAAGAGGCGAATTATTCTGTTATTGATCCTACTAGTTGTAGGTATGTTTATTTTGCTGTTGGTGAAACCAAAGAAGCATAGAGGAGAGGTAGAGGAAAGTGTACCACCACCATCGCCACCTTAATAATGATACCCTTTTTCAAGATGGATTACACGTATTTTGGTGCAGAGATATTGTGGAATACCCATAATACTTCACAACGTGCGCCCCTGTTCTACGTGCGCAAACTATAAATCACTATGTTGAGGTTGAAATGTGATTGATGGGTGTTCAACATGCTCAAAGACTGTTCGTCGTTGGACCATATCATACTCTTCTCTTTCTCTATTCCCAAAATCAATTTACTTATTACCAGGCCAGCCCCGCCATTGTCAACTAGGTGACAGGTGATTTCAACCTCTTCTCATAATTATATTACAAAATCAACTCGTCCAAAGCCCAACTTGAATCCAAAAATTTCCATTTTCTACCTTCTATCTCATCCAAATAGTATCGAATGATATCATACAGCAAACAAGACGAAATACTTATTTCAACCTACCCCACATCGCTTGTACAAGGGGCTTTCTCATTTTCTACTACCCCAATCCACCCTCCAATTTGATTTTTTTCTCTTCACTTTGATCTCCCATCTACATTTAAAGAAATTACTTGTGGTTGTGAATATTTTATTCATGGCTGTGTGTGAAGGGAAATTGAGAGGTAGTGCTAAGAGTTCTATATAAGTGTGATAGTAAAGATAGAGGGGCTATTCAAAGGGGGACAAGAATGAGACAAACTCAGGAATTGACTAGAAGAACAAGGAGTTGCTTATGGAGCAGAGAGAGAAAAATCTCAAGTATTTGAAAATGTGTAACATCACTTTTTCCAGCTACTCAAACCGCAAAGTCATCGGTGTTGTCAACTGCATATCAGTCGTAAAAAGCTATCCTCGCTTAACATTTTAATGACTACATACTATGCAAAAGACTAAGAATACTTCAAACTCACCATGCGCTCATCCATTCAAAATAGGGTTTGATTCATGATGAACATAACTTGCGACCAACAAACAATTCAATTGACATCAAAAAAACCAGCGCCAAAAAAATATTCACTCGTCTCCACAGCTTGCTAAGCGCGGCTCCTTATTGCAACTCATCAAAATCCTATAATCAAACAGGAATGCCCGCTGTGGCGGCAAAGCTAACAAGCGGATAATAAGCTACGCGAGTTAACACTCTTGGCCTATCTTTTTACGTTTTTATTTTTCAGAAGTGTGTCATTTACAACCCGCATCTTGATGTAAAATTTGTCGGGTAAAAGGCACCGGTACTTAAGAATCGGTCACAGCAAAAATCGCAGACCCGTTGAGCGAGCAAAAAATCCTGACACGAGGAATTATTTCACATGGGAGGGTGTAAAACAGTGCGACCGAATTCGACCTAGAGACCATTTTGAACCATCGCGTAGACGATCCACAAGGAGAAAGTATCTTATTTTAGCATACACAGACGAGACGAAACTTTCTTTTGTGAGATGAGTTGAAATTTTGTTTTTTGCCAAGGTGTTTGTGTCCTTGTGACCACTTCTAACATTTCCTAGCGTGAAGTCTATGGATCGTGGATTATTGTCATAGTGAGTAATTCAGGATATGTTTGTTTATATTTGAATTGTAGACGCTTTATATATCTGTCTCGCTGTACCTGGTGTTGAAGATGATAATTGAGTCGCGAAGATTTCTGGGGCGAAAGGATTTAATCTTAAGATAATTGCTCAAAAAGCAGAATAAAGGGTTCAGGAGATACGGAAAGAGTGGAACGATGGGTAAGGAGAAGATCCATCAGTCGAGTCGGGACGCGGAGAAGAGAGATGAAAGTGGTAAGGAAAACAGAGATAGGAGAAGACGGGATAGACATGGGGACGAGGGAAGAGATAAAGAGGAGAGAAAAGCGGTCAATTCGGAACCACGAAGAAAATTTAGAGGGATATCTCAATCTGTTGAGATTGGACGTGATCAACCCTATTCTGGCGTTGAAAATAGTGGCGGCAGATCATCTGCCCCCATTCCCAACCGCCACGACAAAGATTCCGCCAAAAGGGGTGAGAGACCACTTACCACTACTATCGACAACTCATCAATACCAATTAGAGGAAGAGATCACAGCAGCAATCGAGACGCGAGCGGAAGTGATAGAAAATCTAACACCTATCCACCCCATCCCAGCTGCCAAAGGGATCCCAGTGAAAGACGTGGGAGAGATTCCAATACCACCATATGCAAAGACACACCAACCCAGAGTAAAGGCGAAAACGTAACGGTGCCTCTTCCCAGCCGCAGCAATCGATCTCACGATCCAAGACCAGGCAGAAGAGACCCCTCCATCAATCGCGAAACAGAAAACCTAAAACTTGGTGATTCGAGAGGATCAAAAGCCGCGGCTACAGAAGATCGTGAGAAGAGAAGCGTTGATGTACCGGCTTCCAGGTCACCTTTAAGTTTTCCGCGTAACAGGGTGAAAGTTGGTGTACTTCCGAAATGTTATCTACCTCGGAAAGAAGAGGACACTCGGCGATTAATCGTTTTTGGGGATGTACATGGAATGCCCGATGCCAAGGAACGTCTCTTGAAGCATATTGAATATAAGCCAGCGACGGACCATCAGATATTCGGCGGTGATATGATAACGAAAGGGAGAAAAAGCAAACCAAGCAAAAGTGCTACGACCAAAGAGTTGATAACAATCGAGGCTTCTAAAGATGTCGTGCATCAGGCTAGAAAAGATGGAGCTTCGGGGGTCCGTGGGAATCATGAAGATTGTGTACTAAATGTTGAACACGAAAGAAATGGTTGGCGAGAATCCATCGACCGCGCAATGGATAATCAGTTTAATATTCAAACAAGGAAAAAGTTGCGGACGCCGGATCATAGGGATACCAGCGACTATGACATGTATGATGCACTTACCAGAGAAGAAAGACAATGGCTTGAAGATCTTCCTGATATTCTGGTTCTGGGAAAATGTGGTGGTCATAATAATATGGTTGTCGTACACGCTGGATTGAATCCATTTGTTGGCTTGAAGGACCAACGAATTATAGAGACGATGAACATCAAATCTATAGATCCAGTGAAAAGGTATACTAGTTCGATGCATGCGGGAGATAAAGAGATAAAAGCCCTGGATGAGGAAGACCGGGAACGTTTTAGCAAGATGATGCCCTGGTTTGAGGTATGCAAATCAAGAATTCCATTCGTAAAGAATAGTACTAATCCCGGCGAATATAGACTTGGGAGGACAAGCAAAAGAACTTACCTCCAAGTGAACAGATGACTGTAATGTATGGTCATGAATCTAAGAAGGGCTTGACAAAAAGGAAATTCTCAATTGGTCTCGATACTGGTGCGCAACGTACAGACAAACTCAACCCTGATAAGTATCGAACTTTGACTGCCCTCGTTATTCACCACGATAAATGCAAAATATTTCAAGTCAAGGAGATCAAGAAAAAAAATGGGGATTGGGAGTGGATGCCGGTTAAGTTGTCAAGGGAAGAATCTGATTTTTGAGATTAGGTTTCTTTCCAGTGGGGTATTCCTATATTATTGCTGTACATGTTATATTCCAGTTTCGATACAGAGAGGTTTCGTACAACATCAAGACTAAGCTTTGTGTGAGACGATGCCATACCTGGGGGGCCAATATGTTAGTTAATACATCGATTTATATTACACAAACTGTGGCACAACCATGCATAGACGAATATAAATATGCATAACAAACAGCCAATATTGTCAGGCTTATCTTCAAACGTTGTACCGTCAAATGTCTGCGAAACAAACTTTTGTTCGGCAACGGAAAATTTCTGTACTTCTCACTCGAGATATGCAGTATGAAGCATGCAAAACATACCTGCGTCGCATGAGATTTTGATCACGTTATGCGGTCAACTCTGTGCACCAAAATTTTTGTTAGAAAGAACGGCCCGCTAGCAAATGTTAAATGACTCCTGCAGAACACGGAATCTGGTGCATCTCAAACGGTTGAAGCCTAACGAAACATGATTTTGGGCACCGTAGATGGGGCATCTGAATTGAATTCAATCTTCAGATTAATATTCCATTAGATTTACTCATCGATCCATTTCTCGTAGTCAGGAAAGTATCGATAATGTATTCTTTCAACATAATCCATGAGAACACGCATAGAATACGGGATAGATCCTAGGATTTGATCTCTTTGAATGTATATAGCTTATCCTCAAGAAGAGCACGGATTGCCATATCTTGCGTTTTTGCTGATGGCTCTAATGATGAATTGAGATCGGTTAGAACATCTGATTCCACTACCCCTTTATGATGAGTGTTGAATCTGCAAGCAGAAAAGGAGACAACCCCTCCTTGTGTACTGAGATATATGGCATCTTCCCTTTTGGTGCCGAAGGAGGTGAGCGACCATCCAAGATGTACTTCACGTTGGTTTCGTGGAACTGGAATTCAAACTAGATAACAAATGGAGACCATGCCCAATTTCCTGGGTCTAGCCAGCCACGGAAGAGAGTGATTTTTATGATAGATAAGTAGGTAGCTTAGGGTTAGAAACGATCGAGAGAACGGAAAACTTGAGATGTATGTCTGTATTACCTTTGGGGATGGTGATGTCTTCATGATAAGTCTAATCGATCATATTGTATTGGTTGTATCTATTCTAGGTTCAAAGCTGCAAGAGCTACCTACGTACTTGTAATACGTTTGTACGCTAGCGCGCGCTTACGCCTATACATTTACTAGTAAGGTTATGGCAACAACATCTTATAAAGGTCTGGTTGAAGAAAAGTGTGAAGCATTCAGAGAGTGACTTTCCGCTATGATTTTCTAATGGTAATATAGTGGTTGCACCACCAGTTGATGTAACGTATACACAGGGGATTCATGTGGTAGTCTGAACCAATTTTGAGCCTGTTTCAATTGATGACAAAAAGTATCATAAGAAATGATTATTGTTGTCCATTTATGCCTATACTTTTGAATTGAACGGATAATTTGAGTGCTACCTCCCGTCCTTAAAGACAATTTTGACAGGTGAAAGAAGTTACCTGTGATGGTTTTATTGTCGTTGATTTGTATTCTTCATAACGTGGTTTAACAGTGGCTCGGCCATATCAGTGAGTCGGCCACCATTTTTACATACAAAATACATCTGTGTATAACTGTGCACTTTCTTTATTTATTGATATAATTTTCTAAAAATCTATTATTAGATATTTAATTATATAAATATTATAAAAGTCTAATTTTTGGTTAGAAATTCGAATTATTAAAGTATTTATTAAAGGAATAACTTTTTTGTAACGAGAATATAACAATTTCCACTTTTTTTATAATATAATAAAAATATTTATATAAAAACTAGATTTTTAAAAAATTAAATTTTTATTATTATTTAATATTCTTTTCTTTTTCAAAAATAATGATTAATAATTAAAATATGAATATTGAAAAAGACTGGTTTTATATGTATTTTGAAGTGGCCAATCCATTGATATGGCCGAGCCACTGTTAAACCACATTATATCTATCAACAAGTTTGATGTTCGGAAGTCGGGAGTCGGATGAATTACTCTCAAAGCACGGGGGTTGCCGAGACAGATTACGATAATCATCACCTTCATTGGATTCAATACTCTGAGCACATGGCATACATTCATCAAAGGTTTCACAATCAACTTCTACGAGTGAATCACACGTGTCGATATCGCCGATATCACGAAAGGGGACTAAATTAAACATGAGATGAGGTTTAGTATCTTTTGCAACTGTCAATAAACTCCAATCCGAACAACCTCCTTGCGTGGATTGTTAATTAATCTTTGATCAATTCAACAACCATTCAAATGAGTAATTCAAGTGATAATCGAACGGCGGTCGACCGTCTACGAGCGTTATTTAACAATCCGAATCCCGAACCCGCATATGAACCTATCTCGAGCAGTTCTAGTATTCACGAAGACGATGTACGCAGACCAGTCCTCGTCTTACCAGATCAAGTCGAAACTGAGCCCTTCTCATGGTTCGAGTATGGAATCTTTATGTTAATCGGAGTGGCAATGCTTTGGGCATGGTATGTTCCACTGACGTCTCGGGAGGGCGCAGAAGCTGATATCTTGACAGGAACATGTTTTTAGCAGCCGCGCCATACTTTCAGAGCCGATTCCAAGACAGTGAGAGCATTCTTCAACATTTCCAATCTGCGATTACATCCGTTGGAACGGTTACGAATCTTGGCTCGATGCTACTCCTGAGTCATCTACAATCGAACGCCTCCTACCCAAAACGTATCATAGCCTCCCTCGTCCTCAATACTATTGTCTTTACGCTTCTTGCGATATCCACCTCATACTTTCGCGATGTTTCGTCGAGTGGCTATCTAACTTTCACTTTGATAATGGTATTCGCGACTTCCTGTGCAACGGGGCTTCTACAGAACGGGGCTTTCGCTTTCGCATCAAGCTTCGGCCGACCAGAATACATACAGGCTATTATGACGGGGCAAGCAATCGCCGGAGTCTTGCCATCAGCTGCACAAATTGCTACCGTTTTGGCTGTTCCGCCGCCCGACCATTGGGCTGATGTAAATGCGGAGACTGCAGATGTGAAGGAAAATACAACTTCGGCATTTCTTTATTTTTTGACGGCCACAGTCATAAGTGTTCTCACACTAGTCTTTGTCTACCCCTTACTTCGGAAGCAGAATCGAATCCTTGAGAGTCGCGCGGCGTCATCGGCTAACAGTGACGAAGAGATTGACGAAAATGGTAAACACGAGGTTGTTGGTATGGTTAGACTATTTAAAAAGCTTTACTGGCTTGCAGGAGGTGTATTCATGTGTTTCACTGTTACAATGTTCTTCCCGGTGTTCACATCAAAAGTGGTTTCAGTAAGGCCTGCCGATGGAGCTCCTCGAATACTTCAACCCGAAGCTTTCATCCCCCTCGGATTTTTGGTTTGGAATATCGGCGATCTTTGTGGCCGTCTGCTTCCACTTCTACCTTTTCATACCAAGGCACGACCTATTCCGCTTTTCGTATTCTCTATTCTTCGAATTGGCTTCGTTCCTTTGTACCTTCTCTGTAACATCGAAGGCAAGGGAGCGAAGGTCAATAGCGATGTATTTTACCTTCTCGTTGTTCAGGCTGGATTCGGGCTGAGTAATGGCTGGCTCGGCAGTTCTTGCATGATGGCAGCTGCTGAGTATGTTAACGAAGAGGAACGAGAAGCAAGTGGGTCCTTTATGATGACCAACTTGGTTGCTGGTTTAATGGCTGGATCTTTACTCAGCTTTGCTGTAGCCGGCATTTCCTAATTCATCGACTTACACTTATATAAGCATTGGTTTGTATTTATGGGACGGAGTTTAGAGCGAGACAATGCATGGATTGGCGTTGGAGATTACTTTACTAATGACCGAGACGAAGATTGTTGATATCATGGGATATTTATGGGAGGAAGTCTGGATTTTAAGCTTGCATAAGAATAGCGAGAGAATTTCGAACTAACATTCTACGATTCATACATGATTTTGTTTTGATGTGAGATGATTGTGCTAATATGTTGTAAAGTGATAATAAAACGGGAAGAAACTCTCTGGTCAGTTCAGTGTCGTATATATCTATATATGCCTGGCTAATACTACAACTCTACATATGTCCTTCGAGAACTACCTAAGTTATCATGGATCTTTAGTGTCCTGGATTGTTCTCTCTTAATGAAGTAGGGTGTTGGTTCCAAGCATTTTCATTCAGTTTCAAGATATCTCGATAAAGCGGGAAGAGATTGGGTTCATAAATTTATAGGGACAAGACTTCCATCCGTCTAAGGTAACCTATAGTCCTTTCTTCGTTCTTTCCCTTGCGCAACTTCAAACGTGAACTCTTCTTTTTTGTGAAAGTCACTGGTTCGCACCTTCTACGTAGGGAACTATAACAACGATAATCAACAGGTAATAGCATTTGTTGAGAGATTTCTATCTCAATATCAGATTCACCAACAAACCCTTTCCTCGTGCTCACTTCCAACTCCCTCGTTTCTCAACAAGCTGTTGCACAAGATCCACTCAAGCTATAAACTGAAGTCTTCTATAGTATTGGATCTAACCTTGCGAGCCTCCCCCGGTGTCTTGACGTTTTTCTCTATCTCACCTCGAAAAGCCTGGCTTAGGAAGTTATCACTTCGATCTGCCAGTTTACAACTGTTTCAAGTCTCTTGATTCCCATTGAGACCTTTCGCGTGTACGAGGGATCTACTTGGAAATATTGGACAGAGACATTAGCAATAGTGCTCGGTCACACAGCAGCTGAATGTAAACTGACCTCTATTCAAACCAAGACCTTAACTGACATTTCGTTCGATTACTTGCTATAGCAGCAAAACATAACCGCTGATTGTCAAATATCGAGCTGAATCTAAGGACTCCTGGTTCTTTGTCTTGATCAACAAGGTTAGTAATTTTTGAATTTTCTGAAAAATGTTGCCCCTTTCGGGTAGTATTCCTCCACATTTTTTAAGATCGAGGTTTGATACTCTTTTATTGTAGATACTAACACACGATTGTAGATCATGCAACCCATCTAAAGTTCTTCTGAGTAGCCTATGACTGAGATTTCTCCTAACTACTCGATTTAAAACTTTGAGGACAACCAAAGAAGGACCCTTAGCTATTCAATTGCTCGCAATGAATTTCGGTTCCCACTATAACTCGACACTTTAATAGAAAAACTATTTTGAATAGGATTGTGAGGCAAGTTGTTTTCTACCCAGCTAGCCTCACCATCTTTCGCACATTTGACTTTTTCTGGATATCACATTATCAACCACACCACTTACTTGCACACGCGAACTACTGCGCTAAGTACCATCTTGCTATTTCTGCCTTCTGATTCACTCAAACTCTTCTATTTGAGCACCTTGTCTTTAAATTTATCCTCGCATACCAAGAATTTCCCTTGAAATCAAGCAATTCTACTCACAACTGGAAAATCAACTTCCTGTGTTAAATCGGTTTACATTGGGTTATAGCTTCAACACTACAACAACAATAATCAACAAGTATTCCATCATGGCCGACGATACTAATGATGATAATAAACCTGAGGGTGAAGACGACGGTCTTTTGGCTTCACTATCGCCGTCGCCAACAAAATTTGATGTCAGTAATTTTCAATGCCCGCATCCAGATTGTGGCAGATTCTATGCTTCCAAGCATGGACTTGACAATCATAATAGAGTTCATTTTACTGATGACGAAAAGCCATTCGCCTGTCCTCATCCAGGATGTCTTTCAAGATATACGAACAAGAGAGGAGTTACCCGTCACTTCAATCTCAAACATAAAGACAAAAGTGACTGGTTCAACTGTCCTACAGCAGAGTGCGATTCTTCTTTTTCTGATGAAAGACAACTCAAGTTGCATCAAAGAGAGCATGGATTGTTTCGCTGTACCGCAAGACACTGTGCCTATGAGTACACCACCGAGCAAGAGCTATATGATCATAGAGAGGTAATAGTTCATCACAGCGTTTCGCACACTCAAATACACTTGATCACTAATAAAAGTTAAAGCGTAACCATACAACCTCTGATGTATATGAGGATCGTACTAGCAAACGACCACCAGGAGCATCTAAGAAAGAAGACTCGTCTGCACAAGTATTGAGCGGAGAAGAGACTGGAGATGAGATTGTTGTCGACGAGGATTCAGCGAAACCAGAATTCTACGGAGATAAAGATAAATTTGAGATTAGTTCCCCCTTCAAGACGCCTACATTCGGGAGAGGAAGTAAAAGAGGCATTACGAAAAGAGTCTCGTTGAATATGGAGGAGTATCCTGCAAGACCTAACTGCAAAGGCTGGAAATGTCCCAAACCTGGCTGTACAATCTGTCGCAAAGTACAGTTTGATCTGATTGCTCACTGGCAGGTATGTATTCTTTATTAATCTCTTCAATTTCTATTTAGAACAAAATCGTTGATTTGCTATTCTTTGATACGACGGATTTTTTTAATTTAAGTATGGCCCTCATGCGTTTGTTAACTGTACTACTTTGTTAGGAAGCACACAGTGATATACCAGAACCAGCTCATTTTGAATTTGTCCATGGTCCAAAGTCGTCCGAGAATACTGCCACTCCTACATTTGGGGCCAATGACCATCGGCTCGGAGGTAAGCCTTGTCATTTCGTTTGATAATACAGCACTTAAATTATCTATATGGTAACTTCTTTGCGTCTCCCCACTCTCATTGTTCCTTCTCCTTTGAAACACCAACACTATTTCCATTAACATTCCTACTTCATGACTTTTGTTTTCAATATTGTTCATAATAAACTTGAATCATGAATGATATAAAGGAAGACAGCAGTGATGAGTACAGTCACTCACAACATCGTGCAAATATAGGACAGTCCACTTCTGTTGGTCAATCAGCTCGCTCCGACCAGGAAGGAGCAAGTCAAAGCAATGCCAATGATGGTTCTAGAGGGCTAGATTCTCAACAACAGAGAGGGAAGGGTGACGATGCTGCAGGAAACAAGGTATGTTTGATATTTTTTCCTTTTCAATTCATGTAACTATTGTAAACATTTGTTTGTTGATTCCTTCCTTCAAACAATTTCGGACATTCAATCTTGCATATTGATTGAATAGAGGATAGACAATAGCCAATCTCTTCTTCTTTCATCGGCTTTCATTCATCCATCTGTCAAGGATCTTGTGTTATAACCTTCCATCTTTACAACTTATTCCCTCTTCCAAAAACATCTTTCACAACAGTATAGGCTAATTCAACGCTCACAGAATACAAATATGAATGGCGTAAGCGTACCAAATGCTGCTGCATTAATCCCTTCCATCGCTGCTTCTCGTTCCCCTACAACAACAAATGCTCAAGGTCACACTCCAAGATCTAACAATGGTCCTCCCACTATTCCCCCTCCACGCCACGCATCTAATCTTGCTCATCCAGCCGCCAACATCTTGGCCAATTCTACTGGCAATCTTTCTGGTCTAGCTGAAACCCCTTCAGTCAACAATCGACGCAAGAAGGCAAGAATTGGCCATCCCGCTCAGAGGATTCACGTTCGTGCAATGGAGGCCCGCCGTATGAGTCCTCCTCCTGCTAGGAGTAATCAAGCTGCAAAGTCTGCTGTTGCTTTGATCAATACCAGAATGCCTCCTCAAAGACATTATCAAGTCTCTTCTCCCGCTTCTTCCCGTCGCGCCTCTTCTGTGAGCTCTGATGAGGAAGAGGAAGAAGACGAGGAGGAGGGTCTCTTTGTCTCGCCACCCGATACCACCAAGTTTCAGACCAAAGGTTCTCGCCGCGTACTGGGCGTTCGAGGCTTTGCCAACATGCCATTGCCTAGAGATCAAGATTCTGACGAGGAGGATCTTAGACCAAGTCATATCTTGAGACAAGAACGCCGTGCTGCTGCTGGCAAGTCTGTGAAGCCTGATCATACCCGAGAATTTCTTGGTGCGGGTAGGAAAATCTACGGTCAACCTAGAAAGATGGGGAAATCCGCCAAGCATTTTGCAGCCCGATCAAGTGATTCAGATGATGATTCAAATTTCGATGGCAGCGAGTTGAGTGTAAGCTGAATGTCTCATTCTATTTTGTTTAATTTGGTCGGATGGATATACTAACAAATAACAGTCATCCGGTAGCTCTTTTGGAGAAACCGAAACCCACCGCCCCGGTCGTCGTTCAACAAATCATGTCAACGCACGTCCCTCGAACTCCGTTCCTCGTCGCCCCTCTGTCAACAACGGCAATCCCCCAAGAACTCCTTCTCCTGATCTTCCTAGATACCAACCCTATGAAGTCTACGGTCCTGATCTCAACTCTCCACCCCCATCCTACCTCATCAAATCTCCTGGTGTTATCGATCGCACTCTTCCATACCCTAATCGCCCAGAAGACAAAACGCTCCCTGATATTGCTGCAGTTCAACCCGACGACCTCTTCGATGCTGATGACATCTTTTTTAGCTTTCGAGATATGACTCCGCATGAAAAAGAGATACAAGATCGCCTTGACGCAGAGAAAGAAGCTGTGAGAGCAAATGCATATGGCTCTGGATTTCGTGCTCCATTGCATTTTGATCATTGTCCCTACACAGCCCCAATCTGTCGTGCCGAGCGGGCAGCTTGGATTGCGGAGAGATTGCGTCTCGATGTTGAGGAAGCTCGTGGTGATGAATCTGAAGATCCTGATACACCATCAAGAATGGATCTCGATGATGATCGTCGCTCTGATGTTGACGTAGAGATGACACGTACCAGAAGATCTGCATTATCAAAGAAGAAGAGAGCCACTTGCTCGGGTCCGGTTCGTGAAAAGAGAAAGTACAACTGGCGTGATCCATTTAGGAAGAATAAGCGTCGCAGAAGTAGTCTTTCTGGCAGTACATCTCGTCGTGCCAGTACTCGCCGTTCTAATTCTGGTGGGAACTCTCAGATTGATGGTGCCAACGAACAGGAGGAAGTAGTCGCCAAAAGCCAAAGGCCAATTTGGGCATGGAGTGAGGCGCATGGCGCTGTGATCAATACACGAAAGCCTGTTGAATCGGTTCGTCCGGATGATTTGGCTACTGAAGGTGGCACTGCGCTTCCTCGTCTTGTCCATTGTGCTTCTGCTACTCCCTCTGTTGGCTCGGATGACTTGAATGCTTCGAGTGCGCCCACTGCTGCAGTTGGCAGCGCTCAGGCCTCCTTTGTTCTTAGTGATGGATAATTGAAGACCTATCACAACGACTCATGAATTAGTCTTGATTTTCAGGATGCTTAATGGATGCGCAAATTTATGGTTGCTTAGTTTGTGGGTAATGGATTTTGCTGGGGAGTCGATATCTAATCTGTTCAAGGCGTTGGGAGTGAATGGTGGGTTTTGTCTCTGGGAGCTGGCATATTTAATAGATCATCATCGAAGATGGCAGATCTAATTGATATAGGTTTCATATATTACAGATAGCTAAGATACCTCCGCATATAACTTGGGATAATCCACATAGGTAGTTAGCAGAAATCTGAAACTGTAATTTATTTGACACTTGAGTTCTTTAAATGATTGAATGCTATGAATGGGACTAGATCAATGGTCGATGTGTCTCAACAATTCGGAGTTTCTTAGATACTGAATATTCTTGTAACATGATTACTGAGACTAGTTTTGTTGATTTAGCTATTAGGCTTAATGGGTGAGTGGGTAATAGGTGATAGATGGGTCATGGTATCGCGGGTATTTCTGTTCATAATGTTGCCTCGTTGCGATGTCCGGAGGAATATTGACAACGAAGAAAACTACTCTTTCACTATGCAGAGCGGCAGAAAAATAATTTTGACATGTGGATGTGGATAGCAGATGTCGTGATATTGAACATCCCACGAAATCCATAGACTCAATCTGAAAGCATCCCCAAAACTTACAAGCCAATGAAACTCCCCTCAAAAAGTTGAGCTACGCCATATCATCCAGATCCTCACATCCCCAATTCAGAATCCGACACATAATGACTCCCCCCAGCACATCGATATCCACCAAGCTGTTTAATCCACTGAAAACCCGCAACACAAACTCCCAAATTCCTCAATTTTTCCTGCGCTTGCGCCTCTTTCTTTCTTCTCTGCTCTTCTTCCAATCTTCTGCGTTCGTTTTCCTGCTCAATACGCGCTCTCTCAGCTTTAGCTTTTAGTTCACGAAGTCGCGCTTCCTCGCGTAGACGAAGTTGTTCTTTCCGTTCGGCTTCATTTTTGGCTTGGAATTGTCGCAGGGCTTCTTCTCTAGCTTTACGCTCAGCCTCTTGGAGTGCTTGCATTTCTTCTTGTTTCTTGCGCATTTCATCGGCGTAACGCTGGGCTATTTCCTCGGCGGCCTTTTTGTCCTGTTGTAGTTGAGTCCACACTGCGTCAGAAACACCCGCGTCACGACCATCGTCAGTATCCGATTCGTCATCTTCGAATAATGGCTTTGGGGGCTCATCATCATCATCCTTGTCCTTAGGTGCACTCTTAGTCGCGCTGGAAGTATTGGTAGAAGTTGAGGGGGGAGCAGGTGGTTGTTGGTTGTGGCTCATGACTGGTGCATCTTTTGACAAATTATGCCTTGGTTTTCCTTGCACGTGAGCCCTGTCTTTTTTGCTATCAATCATATCTTGAACACAAGTCATGGCATCGTCGTATGATAGATTGATGTTGGGATCAGTAGACGAAGTATTCGTGGCAGATTGGTAGAATGCACGTGTCATGCTCTTAGCGAGTGTAATCATATCTCTTGCGTTGCCCCAAGCAGGCAGTTTGGAGAGCTCTGCAATCAAATCCAAGAAAGGCTGGTGATTTGTCATATCTGTCAACCCGTCGATAGAGATATTCTCTTTTTCCAAGGCATTTTGTAGAACGAGAAGAGAATCTTTGGGTGTAAGAGCCGGAAAATTTATCTCATCAGCAAAACGGCTATTCAAGCCTTCATTTTTGGTAAGCAGCGTGTTCATATCTTTTTCATATCCTGCAAGAATTATGATCATTTTACCAGCAAATTTTGGTTTAGTCATGGACTAGAATTCAAGAGTTAGTAATCACACAGAAGGAAGCTTCTTAGCTTTACGTATAGGAATAGCAATGTTTGAAGTGACAACAGACGATGCACTAAGCATTCCAAGGAGGATCCACCATTGGAGTGATTTAGTATCAGAATTAAAAGTAACTCACATCAACCAATTCGTCAATAGCTTCTTGGGAGAAATGTCCCTGCCCAAGTCGATATGCTTCGTCGATGAAGAGAACTTTCCCAAGGCCAAGCTCAAGTTGTTTAACTGTTTTTGGACCAGTATGCCCAACATATTGGCCAATAAGGTCTGATGCGGAACATTCAACAACTTGTACCTCCGACAGAAATCCTAAATCGTAATAAACCTGACCAATTTTTCGGGCAGTTGTAGTCTTCCCAGTTCCTGATATTTGAGTTAGCACAACCTGCTGCGTTAAATTTTAACGGAGTAATAAATACCTGGCGGGCCTTTGAATATAAAATTCATTGGTATTTGTGACCGAGGATCTTTCCCGAGCTTTCTCATGCCTTTCGCAACTTTTACATATCCATCAAGCTTCGCAATGATAGTATCACATCCTATGATACCCTTGAATAGATCTTTCAAATTTGTCTCCGCACCGGATGCTCGATCAAAGTCTGGATCAAAGTCTTGTGGCTCAAACAAGAAATCAATGGATCGTTGATCAACAGGTAGTTTTGACTGTCGAGATAGGTAGTTTTTCTTTGCCTTGGATATCAAATTCTCCACGTCGCCCCCGTTTCCGAAATTAAGTCCGTTTCGAGCTCTTGCGAGTAGATCTATCGCAACCGCTACTGCTTTTTGAGTTGCGTCGAGCCCATATGTACTCAACTTCTGCTGTAGAATCTCCTCGAGCTCTTGGTCATTGAAGTCGGCAAACTGGAAGCCATCTGCAGGAGGAAAGCGTCTTGTTAAGCCCGGATTAACATTCTGAAACATCTCAATCATTTTATCTTCATAGCCTAGAAGCAACACACATCGATCATCACCAGGTACGCTTTGTATTTCGGCAACAATCGTGTCTATCACAGCTGTTCTATAAATGTCAGATCCTCCGCCTCCACCATGACTACCCTTAGAGCTAGGGTAGAGCATGTATGCTTCATCAATGATTAGAACTTTCCCAATTGTAGTCGCAAGAATGTTTTTCGTGTTTTCCTCCGATTGTCCTATATGACTGCCGATAAAATCCGCTGGATTCTTTGTAACAACTATAAAAAATTAGAAACACATTATAATTTAAATAAAAAACGTGTTCCAAATGACCAAAAAGTTTCGACTCATACAAATGTAAAATCTTACCTTCTCCGTTGCTCAGAATTCCTAGATCTGAGAGAATACGGCCATATAGCTTGGCAACTGTTGTCTTCCCAGTACCTGGAGAGCCAAGGAATACACGGTTCAATGATACCGCAATGATTGGCTTCAGTTCTAGCTCCCGTTTGTAGTTCGTCTTGATGACGTCGATCATAAATCTTACAGATTCTTTAACAGATTTTAACCCAGTAAGGCTTTGGAGCTCATCCCATGCCTTGCATTTCAAGATTGCTTGGGATGGGTCTGGCCCTATCAGGTCTTCCTTTGTAATGAGATTGTCGTCTGGGCCGAGGCCATCCCTGCGTTCTTTCGTCAAGCGATCTGCTTGGCGTTCACGAATCCTCGCAAACATGTTCTCTAAAGCTCGCGCATTCCCGAATCCCTCTCGTCCTCTGCCCCTGCCCAGTCTTTGCACCGCAATTTGCATGTAAAGTCCATCTTGGCCGTCTTCTATCATCATCGGAGATGGATAAAACTTGTGGATTTGATATTGCAACATTTCAAGGAGTTCAGAATCGGTATAATCTTCAAAATGAAGCGTGTACGGTAGGCGTGACTGTAGACCGGGATTATGCTCGAAGAACTTCTCCATCTGCTTGCGATATCCCGCGAAGACGAAAACAACTTTGCCCACAAGATTTTCTATTTCTGTAAGAAGATAGTCCAAAACTGTCTTACCACCGGTGTTATGTCCTTCTGTCAATTGGTAAGCTTCATCAATGAAATAAACTCCCCCCTGAGCACTGTCAAGAATGGCTAAATGCTTCTTGACATCATTCACCCCGCCATGCGCGAGGTGACTGCCAGTTGTTTCGACAAATTCATCGCCAGGAAGAACTTGTAGTGTTGTCAAGATTTTGGCGTAGAGTCTCGCCACTGTTGTTTTACCTGCTCAAAGTTAACAGGGATCATAATTGGATATAGGGATCGAGTGATGGGTTTCCAATAGTCCTTTGGCAGTCTTGTTTTACAAAAAAGCCCACACAGGCCATATTCATATTGAACTTTGGTATCAACGGCCGTGCTTGTGAAATATTTGAATCCGCTGAATCGTTGATCTTATCCGGACTACGAGATCCACTCGGATCTTCGAGCTGCATTCAAGAATCCAGAGCTTTTGGATTATTTGAGTGAACTCGGTTTATTGCATTTGGAAAGCAATCGGTACTGTTGAGAACCCTTCGAACGAAAGAGCACTTACCTGTTCCAGGATTGCCTAATAGAATCAAGCCCAACCTTTCCTTTTTGAGATCTGTCCCTTGACGCTTGGAAGTATCGACTTTTGCTTTGATTCGAAGTACCTGAGATTTTACATCTTCGAGGCCAATCATCTCCATGATCTTGTCTATAGCCGGATTTATCGCATTTTCCTGGTCCTTTTGTCGTTGCCACTCGATCTTCGATGCCGAAGCTTTCTGGCCAACTCGCGTCTGCAGTTTCTTTGGAACATTCTTCTGTTTCTGAGGAGAATGTGTTTGAACTGCGTGGGGTTGCGGGGGTGCAGTACCCGAGGTACTGGCAGGTGCTCCACTGGGAATGACTGGAGAAGAAGCAGTAGGAGCCGGTGGCTTACTCGCGGTAATGGATTTCGATTTATCTACTACTGGTGTCGACTGAATTTGAATTAGACGGTCTTTGATGGTAGACAGATCCTTTCTTTTCTGTGCTAAAACTGCTTCTTGTTCTGATCTCAGCTGGGAGTCTTGGATCTCTTGATGTACCCTATCTAAATCCTTCTGGAGTTGTTCAAGCTCTTTTTGATGTTTTTGCCTCATTTCGTCTCGTCGCAACTGCTCATCTAATTCTTTCTTTGCTTGCTTAGCAGCATCTCGTTTCTCCTTTTCGCACTTGGGACAGGACTTCAGTGGAAGGTTTTCATGGCATTTCGATTTAATTGTATGTCCTTCGGGACACTTCCGCTGTATGATCTCCTTACATAACATTTTAGAGTGATCGAAAACCTGATGACATTTGCTAGGGCAATGATGAGTATTACAATTCAATAGAGCGCCACTGTGGGGTTTCGAATTAGCTTTTCAATTTTTTGCATTGAATGAAAAATTAGTGGGACTAACCAAGGCTCATTACAACCGCCATCTGAGCAATATTCTTCGAAATGTTCCGGTGTGGTCAAATTTGCCATTCGATCAGGGTGGTTCGCGCATTTTACAGGAAACCCAGAATAAAAATGACCTGAGCCTTTCAATAAGTCAAAGAAATTCTTGTATAAGGCATTTCCTTTCCGAGACTGTATGAATGTTTCGGAGTTACCGATCATGATCAGTGCATTTCGAGCACGAGATACTAGAACGTTCAGGCGTTGAGGCTGCGACATAAAACCAATGTCGTGTCTAGAATTGCTTCTGGTCAAAGAAACGAGGACTATATCACTTTCTTCACCTTGGTAGTTATCTGTGTCATAATTAGTGGTAAACCATGAGCATCTTGACATCCAATAATAAAAGCAGGAAATGAAGATCAGAAAGAATTAGTAAAATTGATTGAACACCAGAAAGCCATTGTAACACTGATTAACCTAGTTTACAAATGCAATCATAAACGGGGTTTCAGTAGTCTTTCTCAGAAGAAGAGAAGTAAGGTCCCAGATTTGAGAAAAATGCAATATCCAGAGTCAGTTGAACACTTCAGCTGAGTTAGGAACTTCGAAGATTATGATTTTTGTATTGCAGTCCGGACTATTAGAAGCCTCAAGTATGAGAGCGAGGCAGAATAGAAGGTAAACCTTACCAACAGTGGAAATCCGTAGTGATGGCTTGGAAGCTTTGGCGCCAGTATCAATATACAGTCCAGCACGGATGAGATCGAATTTGTCCAAATCGTTTAGGACGGGATCATTCTCTTTCGCAAGTTTCTCAAGCAGCAGTCTAAGCTGAGCTACATAGGGGATTAATACAACCAACTTGTCCGAACCATATCCTTGTTGAGCGAGGTACTTGACGCATTTGAGTATCATGCTGGCTTCGAAATCGTTCTTCTTGGAAGATGTGGACTCTACGTTGTCCCTCATCTCTCTGACATTCACATCGTGTTCCGGAGCCGTATGGTCTACGAAGATAAGATTGTCTCTAAAGCCGAGAAGATCTTTCCGATTTTTTGTCGAGTCGGCATCAACTAAGTCAGGATAGGTAAGGTGTCTGATAATTGACGATATCTCCGGTCGAGAACGATGCTGTTTTGTCAGGGTGACGTGTGGGAAGCCGCCAATTACGAGTCTTTCAAATAAAGACATGTCTAGATTGTATCCATCCCCTTGTTCAACCTTGAGGCCGTAAGTATTGCATTTCGGACGAAGTTGTTTATGGTCTCCAATGAGGATCAGCTGTTCAGTATTCCTCCCCAAAGCTGTGAAGATGTGAGCTTCAAGAATCTCTCCGGCTTCCTCAACTAATAAGACTCCAGGGGAAGCTGCTTGGATTGCGGTGGAGTATTTGGCAGCTGCAGTAGTTGTGCAGCCAATGATTCTCTTTGACTTGATGACGTTTACATCTCTTTGTCCAAGAAGCTCGTTTTTCTCTGCTTGTTCGGCGTTAAACTGCTTTCCAATTTTATCCAACTCTGCAACCATCTCCTCTATAATAGCCGACTTCCAACTTGAAATTATCCTGACCCTCTGATCAGGCCTAATACCCCACACAATTCTTGAGTCCTTGTGTTGTTTATGCTCAAAGGACCCAGCATTCATCTGCCCTCTGGTCCATCTATCAAGTAAGTAGAATTTATCCACGGCTTTACCCTTCTTCCCAACCTTCGTCATACCATTCGTGGTTGTTTGTGGTACCATAAATGTATCGTAAAATGGAATATCATCTAAGAACTCAAGATAATCCAGAATTTGTTGCTTACTCACATTTGCAGAGTTATATCTTGTAAAAGCACTTTTCAAGCGCGTCTCGTGCAGACGCAGACTATCTTCAAGTTTGTGGATCTGATTCCATTGGGAGTTATCGAGTTTTGACGAACCTTGTTTGCTGAGTTGTAACGACTGTGTCCGAGATGTGGACTTTGCGCCGAGTCGTATCATATCTGAAGGCGGTATACCAATATCCATAAGGTCCTCAAGGAATTGATCCAGTGCGTGGTTCGTGTAACACACGACTAGAATTTTTTCAGATGTGAAGTTGTGAATTATTTTCGCCCCTAGAGCTCCAATGAATGATTTTCCTGTGCCTGTCGATATTTGTCAATAATCATTTGCAACTTGCTACCTAAGTATATATATCAATGCAAAAAGTAATAGAAGCGGAACGCGACAATTTGATTGTCATATTCGAATTTGGACATCGAAAAGTGCCATAAGTCCCAAGTACATCGTTCTAGTATGTAGCCTACTCCTTCCACTGGACGAAGAAATGAAGAGATCCATACCTGGCGGCCCTTGAATCAAACTGACTCTTTGGAATAAGATAGCAAGTAGAGATTGAGTTTGAGAGTCATCAAGAACAATCGGCTTTTTCGTCGAGAGAAGAGAACCCATGTCTTTCCCAGAACTTTCTTCTATCTTCTCTTTCAGTTGCAAAGGCTGGAACGGCGGGCCAGAATTGAACTGGTCCTCACTCCACGAAAGAAGCTTCTCTGCCAAAGGAACGTCATTCATATCTTGTAGGCGTTTGAGAAATGGTTCAAAGCCGAAGATTGATGTGTCCATTTGAACCAATTTGATCTTTTGAGCCACCTTAAGTTTGATCAAAGCATTGGATACAGTTGTCTCATCTTGAAATTGCAAAACAATATTAGCAGGTTTTTTTGCTAGTTCTACCTCATCCCTATCGATATATGGAAAGGCGACAGGTTCGCCATCAACAAACAAGCACCCGATTGTTCCTTGCCGAAGAATGTTCCTGTTTTCCTTGAGATAATCGACGCGCTTGCCTTGATTCTTAGAGTCTATTTTCTTTAAGGACTGTAACTCATCTTGGCATTGAAACATAATGCCCCATGGCTCTCGGTACTTATCTCCTTTGATGTGTATGTTCACCACTCGAATGTTGTCGAATGTTAGCCCTCGATGGTATCCTGATCTCAAGCCTTGGAGCTTCTGAACCTCATCCCTAATTTCGCCCAACATGTCCTCACGAAGGAGTCGAAATTGATTATCAATGTGGGTGCCCAGTCGGGAGGGATCTACATCTTTGAGATATGCGTCCGGGGTACGTAGAAATGGTCGTTCTTTAGATAGAAGCTCATCTGCTGTAGGCATAATTGAGATATCTCGGTGGTTCGCATGGTCATTATTGTGTCTTCCACCAGGCCCGAAGGCGATGTCTTTGTCAAGGTCGGATGCATCTAAGGATAGGGTGTGCTTGATTTTTTGACCCAAATTTCTACAATCCCCATTGGCAGATGTCAAAATTGCATCCAAGATACCAGGGGATTTCGCCACAAGGACATAAGTAGTTGGTGGCTTTCCAGGACGATTGATAAGCTCGAGTAAAAGCCATGCAAATGCATATGATGCCTCTTCATTCAGTTGACCAGTCTTGAATGCTTTCATGAATCCATCCCAAAAAAAGGGAGGCTCGGCTATCGCGGTAACAAGCTCTGATAAACTTAATCCAGAGTTAATGGCTTTCAAGGTTGGTGATTGTAAATATTGAAGTAAGAGTACAGATGTTTCGTTGAGGAACGAGGGTGTGGTGTCAAAACGCATCGAAGCTTGGATTGCATCAAGACCCGATGGCCCAGATAATAATTTATATGCTGCTGTTGCTGGATCTTTCTGAGAGCAGATTGCTTCAATAAATGTTTTCCCATCTCGGACTGAGGATAGGGCTCTTCGTCCATTGATAACGTCATGGAAAAAAACGATCAAGGCGAACAACGCGAGGGTCGTCAACAAGGGAAGCCATGATATTCTGAATTATGCTGAAGAGGAAGTATTTTTTGGTCAATACACTATCATAAGACGGCTGTTATTTAAATGTTGTGGAAAGCTGATATGGATCACAGAAAGTTCTGGAGAATGAGATATGGATCCTGGAAACGACTTCGTTTGGATTATGAAAAGCATCAGACAGGACATGGTAACTTTAACGCTGGAAGATTCTTTCTTTTCTGATAGACACCGCTATAGCGGCATTGTGCATGCATCATTACATCGAGTGATAGAAGATGCTATCGATTTGCGGCTTGCTGCATAAATGGAAAGCCTCGCGGAGAAGGTTTGCTGCCCAATCCATTATTTTCTCTTTGAAAAGCAACAAATAAATGGCAGGTCCTGCAGGCCAATGAAGGTGACCGGCATAGACTGAAATCAAATGGCAAGGCATTTCCGTTTGCTATGCGCCGTGAGGCACAGAAAGAAGATAGCAAAGCCAATGGGCTTCTTGAGAGGACACAGGGTTACATTGTGAGGTTGATTCCTGCTTTTGCCTTTACAAATGGACATATTCCTCAATCATCATCAGAGCATTTCCGGCTCGATATAATCCTTATACTGAGACTCTCATCATCTCGGAAAATCAATAATCAGCAGAGATCATCATTTAGTTGACATTTACGACAATTGCAATCGATCATGTTGTCGTACAAAGATAGCAACTATAGAAGAAGAAACTGGGGTGTGAGTAGTGGGGCTCGTGGGGGCTTCAGGCGAGGCTCAGCGTCTCGTGTTCTCCCGCCAGTATCGGATAAGCCGTTTGGACCAGAGATCGACAGCATCGATATATCAAATCTCTTGATTGAAGAAGATGCTCCCATAATTGAAAATGTGAAATATGTCGCTTCTTACAACTGGGTCGATGGGAAAAATCCCATAATTCTTGTACCAGGTAAGCAAAATGTTGTCCTCATAATTGAGAAACATCGGCATCAAGAGGTGTCTGCCGTTTTGCAGCATGCTTTCTCGACGGTTCATGAATTAAACCCTAGCGTACTTAATTGTTAACACGTGAGAAACAGGTTCCCCTCCAGCTTGGTCTCCTCCCGCTCAAGATGAGAAGCTTCCTGAAGATAGTGGAGCTGTCTATCGCGATATCAACGCTGCACGATATCCTGATTATCCCATGGAGCCCGCCGTCAGATCACTTTTGGCCCTTGAACCGGATTTCAAGCTGCAGGATGTAGATTTGGTGGCATGCGGGTCTACAATTGGAAACCTTCTACGATTTGCAGGCTCGTTGGATATGCCATTCCGATTTGATGCAGATCTCGTCGGTGACACCGTCTTCTTCATCCGAAAGGGAAAAAGTCCGACAGAAACCATTGACGACCTCCGAGGTTACGGTCATACGTTTCCGGAACGATATACTACATGGGACAGAGACGTGGGGGGCTCTTGCTCACATCAGCGGATAATTGAGTATGATTTTGCGGACCTTCATCTTTTGGTTCGTAGCGAGACTGATGGGTATCTCAAGAAGCAAGAGCCACAGGCAACTGACTCGTCAGGATCAGAGGGGAATGCACAGACATCGATAGATCAGTCATTTGCCAACTTGGAAGTAGGTTGCACCACGGCGGTATCCAACAATACTAAGCTGGACCTGCGAATGCAAGGCGTCAAAAAGTCCCAGAGTCAGATTTTTGATATGAAGACTCGACGTCACTTGAAAACATTTGATATGGAAGAGATTCTTCCTCGACTTTGGGTGAATCAGACTCCCAACTTCTTGATTGCCTATCACAAATCTGGACTCTTCGACAATCCGCAAGTATCAAACGTCAAGGACAAGGTCCTGGAATGGGAAAAAGAACATGCTACTTTGTTGAGCAAGTTCCATGTTCTTCTAAAGAGAATTCTAGAAGTCATAAAAGATTCCAAAGATGATCGTGTGGAGATCAGTTGGGACGGTAAGGGTCCATTACGTGTGACGAAACAAATTGGAGGAGGAAATCGAGTTCTCCCATCGGATTTGTTGCACAAATGGGACGACTTGGACTAGCCTTTTATTGTGTTCCTCTTCTTGGAGTAGATGGGGGCTTGCATATTTTCCTCTGCGTGGGACCCTCTTTCTCAATTCCATCGGTTGTTTTCATTCATTTGAGGGTTTGAATTTATTTTAGAACTGAAAAAAGCACAATTTTGTCTAATTGAGTTGCCACGGGGCTATAGATTCAACTTAGGTCTAAATCATGATTCTCCATATTCTCTTGAATAATCCTCAAAGAGGGGTTGTACCAGTGACACATAGGCAACTCAAATTTCTCTATCAATTGCCTAGTTATGTGTGTACTTAGTAATCTAGGCTATCTTCACTACTTTACAAAGCACTGTAGATTAATTGCCGATACTTTTACAACAATCAATTTCTTAACTGCTCCGAAAGTTTACCCCATTTCAAACACTCTTTCTGGATGCTAAAACCTCGATGCTGTCAGAAATGCCCTCTTCTGGTTGCGTTTCACCTTGTAAAATGCGTTCCAAATCAGGTGCATCTGAATGTTTAGTACCCTCAAATAATTCATCTATCTCCTCGAGCGTTTTCCCTCTCGTCTCTACCCAATACTTCCAGATCAATCCCACCTCCAAGACATCCCACGCGCCATTCATCATATATATCTTCCATCCCATAGCTTCTTGTGCAAATGGGAATGAGAACACGATCAGGAGTGCAACACTGTTGAGGACGAAAGTGAAGAGACCCATTCCGTTGGCTCTGATGGGATAATTGAGTACTTCTGGTGGGTACAAGTAGAGAAGTGGTGTCCAACCGAAAGAGTAAGCACCCTGAAAGAGGAAAATCGCAGCAACCGTCCCATATACACCGGACTTATTTGTTGATGTCCCATATACTTTGAAAGTGTCAGAAACTTGGGCGTATACTCGAGAGGTGAAGATCATACCTTTGGTAAGTGCACCGACAATGAAGAGAAAAACAGTGAGAAGCGACGTGCTAATGATAGCAGTTGGACGCCGGCCAAGTATGTCTGCATAGTATGTTCCAACCAAAGCACAACAGAGGCACCAAGCATTGAGTATTATATTCTGCCAAAGATCAATGCTCATTGTTAACATCAGAATCCTAGGAATCTCACAATTTGAAGTTGCGTGGTGGTATCAGTGATGCCGGCATTGTCAAGCATTGTTCCCAAGTAGTAACTTGCGATTACGTTTCCTATCAATGTTAGTACCACACATAACGATGAAATCAATTGCATACCCGAGATGGTTGAGATTACCGCAGCTGAGATTGCCAGGGAGACTCTCTTTCTTGCAACTGGTGTTTTAACCATCTGCTTTAAACTCAAGGTCTCACCAACATTTCTCTCATATTCTATCGTGTCAATAATCTCCTTGTATTGCGCAAGCACAATGGGATTTGAGGTATCTCCATTTGCATGAGTCTGAGCTATAACGACTAACGCCTCTTCTGTCCGCCCCACGTAGGCTAGCCATCGAGGTGATTCTGGCACAAATGGCAAAATCGCAATGCAAAGAATACTAAAAATCCCTTGGACTAAGGAAGGGACTCTCCATGCCCAGGTTGAGTTGTAAGTAGCCGTCCGATACGTCACACCAGCTGCAATTAGTCCCCCTGCTGTCTGTTAGATATTCGGTTTCATAATGAACAATCAAAGCTCGTACCAACGTAATAGCAATCGTTCAAAACTCCTAGTCCCCAGGCTCTCCAATTGTAGGGAAGTGTCTCAGCAACATACGTCGGTCCCGTAAGAGTCGACGCCGAAGTTCCATAACCGACTAAAATCCTAGCTGTTACAAACATGGCAGTATTTTGCGCAGCCGTCTGAAGGATAACAGACAAGAATGTTGCAACGGCCGCCCAGAACAATGCATACCTGCGTCCGATAATGTCGGTTACTTGCCCATAAGTCAACCCAGCAATAGCGCCACCAATCCAGAGCGCGGCTGTGTTCAGAGAAAGAGTTGCGGTGTTCAGATTGAAATAATCTGTGTAGCTGGGGAGTATATTGAGTCCATTCCTATTATTTTGTGAATATCAAGAAATAAATTACGGGGAAAAGTGGATTTATCGGGGAGACTAACATCATCGACCCATCGTAACCAAAAGTAGTTGACGTGATGCACGAACACAGGACTAGGAGAACTGATACTACCCATGACGAGCCTGAAACTCTTGGGCGAGTTATTCGGGCTAGCATTGTCTCCACCATTGCAGCTTCGAATTCTCTAAGATTAGGTGACTACTATTTTCAACCGGTTGCCGTCGGTAAGATTCAAAAATAGGTCTTTCGATGCTGCTGCGAAAATTTATGTTCGACTTCAAAGTTTAAACAAAGCATAGGGATAGTTCATATCTATGTTTCTTATCTCAGCATGAAACTATATTATAGGAAAACCTTGTGCCTGGGGAGTCAAACGGCCTTATCTCACTGCATGCGAAGAGATAGCTCCAATGCATGTGCAAGGAACATCGAAGCCATCGAAGCTTGTCAAGGCTTGTTTGCCTTGACCGGCTGCTTCAATCCTAGATAACAACCTTCCTTTCACGTATCTAGGTATGGATCATGGCGATAACATTTTGTTGGTCTATCACTCGCACCACTGGTGGTTTACTGTATTGACTCACGTTAGCTGTGGCCACAACTCTAGCGAGCCGACAAACTTTGGAGTTCTTATCGCAAACCCCGGCTTTTCCAGTGGAGAGACGACGACAGCAAAAACACGTGACATGGATCTACATTTTGTCCTGATTGGGCAGGTGTGACGGAGAGGGGTAAAAGTTCCACTCTGGCGTTGTACATATGAGTATAACGGCTTCTCATCCCGTAAACTTCACGCTTCTTTTGTTAAGTTTTTATCTTTTTGGGGATTTAAACCTCGCAATGTATCTTCCTTTTCTCTTGGGATTTATATCTCAGACTGTCGCTTTCAATGCCCCATCCGACGTTCCAACCTGGTGCGGAAAGCCGTACATGAGCACGTGAGTTGTGATAGTGTTCCGGCTCGCGAGTTTGCTGACATTTGTTAGAAACCACTCGTTAGATCCAGGAGGGCAATTCAAGTTCCCAGAACCTCAGTATGATCCGCTACTCTATGTAACGATACAACCTCAATACTCAATCTTCCTTGAGAGTGACGAAGGAGGAACGTTCATCGTTGATGCCAGTATATCTCATGTATTTGGCGGAACATATACAAATGCTACATTTAATACACCTGGAAGCAATATTAGCTCCCCTTTCACGACGCTTGATATTGAAATTTACAACGAACAGTCAGGTGACTTGCTTGTCACCAATAAGGTTTCTGTAAACTCAACTGGAAATCTAATTGAATTCTCCTTTTCTTCATTTGCTGCACGATTACAGCCTTTTGCAGTCTCGATCTATGCCACTTCCCCTGACGGTCAACAAACTTACACTGCAAGCACTAGTGTCTATGTATTACCATCACGTGGATATGGTAGTGCTGTGAAAATTGATAACCTTTATGGAGGACTCTATGTTCAAAATGACAAAAATGATTGGGATGGTTGGTATGCGATCTTTCCGAACGGATATTACGCCGACGGTTCTTACGTAACACCCGACAACGTCTCGCTGGCCAATCTTGAGGCATATGCAGCACTCGGATTCAACACCATAAATATCGTTCCAGATGGTGGTCTTCCTGACCAATCTTATCCCACTACACAACTCATAGAGTATTGGGATAAAATGGATGAGCTGAACCTTTTCAACCTCTACGATATGCGATTCGCGTTCCAAAACTCAACACGCATCTCGGAACAAGTAGCTCTCTGGCAAAATAGAACTACTCTCCTCTCTTGGTATACCGCCGATGAACCAGATGGATGGGCATATCCTCTAAACTCTACACAGCTTGCTTACTCACAACTTAAGTCGCTAGATCCATATCATCCCGTCAGTCTCGTTCTCAATTGCCAGAATTTCTACTACCCCGAATATTCAGCTGGTGCAGATATAATATTCCAAGACGCCTACCCGGTTGCGATAAACGCCACTTGGTCCATTCCGCGGGGAACCCCTTGCAATGAAACTTATGGAGATTGTGGATGTGATAATTGTGTCGGAGAATTAGAGGACGTAGCGACTCGACTTGATAATATCCAAAATTATCAAGCAAATCTTGGACCAGGTGTTCAAGGCGGCCTGGACAAACCTACATGGTCAGTAGTCCAAGCGTTTGGCGAATCGCAGTATTGGCAAAGCATACCGAGTGCAGCAGAAGTAGAAGTAATGATGATGTTGAGTGTGAATCATGATGCGAAAGGGATAACGTATTGGATTTATCCAAGCACAGATTCTGCCAACGCTGGGAGTGCAGATTTGGGCAAGGTGTTGCAGAATTCACCTGCGATTGATTTCTTGTTTGGGGCGAAGGCAATCAAAGGACTGGGAAGTGGTTTATTGGATGTAAGTGCGTGGATTGTAGGAGAGCAGATGATGGTTGGTATTGTTAATGGAGAGTATGTTGAATCTGTAGATGAGCTCTCGATAAATTTGCCGGAAAACGTGGTGTCCTTAAATCAGACTCTGTATGGAGAATCGGGCTGGACGGTCAATGATGGTAAACTGTCGAAATCGGGTCTGGTCGGTTTGGAGGTAGACATTTTGGTGGTAAATCTTAGTTAGTGCCCCAAAATATGACACGCTCATCGTCAATCCGAACCCTTCGTATCTAATACCATTCTAGAATCCATCACTACTTTTTTCGAGGACGATAGCGAGAATATACATAGAGATGAACTATGAATCAGACTAGATTAGCTTCATCGGTATAGAGCATTGAACTTACCATACCTATGTTTTGGTAGCTTAAACCTTCACCATCCATCAACTTTGACTAATCTAGAATGGCGTACGACTATTAGCAAAGACAAGTGTGGATTTCGCTACACTATATAGTCAACTGAATGGAAACAGCAAAATGAAAAAAAAATTCTTGACAATCGAAATCCGGGGCATCGCTCTATTTCGTAGAGGACGTTGTGCGCTAACGGGTAGATCAACAGCGGACTTTGTTAGTTCTCGAACAGCCCATTCGGATCGGCACTTGAAAACTACATGCTGAAACATGTCCTCGTAAAATTTGGTTCTCCGCTTGATCATGTCAGCAATCTTATGGGCGGATGTGGCTGTTACGCTTTCCCAACGAATTTAGCCGTTAAGTCGGATACCCCACTTTTGGGCCACCTCTGTTTTGGGCTACCCTTTTACACCAAAAATCACTTTTTTAATTTATTAATATCTCTGTTGATATTAAATATAAGTTGATAAAAATCTATATATATATATAATTCAAACTATTTCAATCTTATTTTAAAAATTTCAGATTTTTAGGATTTTTATAAATCGATTTCTAAGGTTTCAAAACATCGATTTTCAATTTGTATAGAAATCACATACAAATTTGAAACTTTATAAAATTTATAATATATTTGTTTTGAAAGATTCTGAAAAAATAGAACATTCCTTATAAATAAATATCTAAAGGAATACTCTCAAAATTGCAGGGATTATTTATATTATTCTAAACTCATTATATATTATATCTCTATATCTATTCATTTTTTTTGAATTTGTTTTGAATTTCTATAGAGATTTAGATTTGGAATCCTGAAAAATATATATAATTTTCTTTTAATTAGTATTGTTAAAAAGTTATTAAAGATTATATAAAAGTTTAAAATTTATATGTGATTTCCATATAAATTCGAAAATTAATATTTTGAAGCTCTAGATCTCAATCCAGAAAAATCCTAAAATTCTAACATGAATCCAAAATAGCTTGAATCATATGAATTTTTATTAAATTATATTCAATATTGACAAAGATATTGATAAGCCAAAAAGTGATTTTTGGTGTAAAAGAGTGACTCAAAAAAAGGGTGGCCTAAAAGTAGCATGGTCGACTTGGTTAATCGACGGAGTTTTAAACGGAGTCCTGTTACGGAAGTAGCCGCACCGCAATATGAATTATAAACCTGAGATCTTAGTATCAGAATCTATAAAAGTAGTATTATAGATATAGAACAAATAGTTAGTAATTACAGATTATCTAATAAATATAGATTGGATAGTAAGTGTAAATTACTTAGTAAATATAATAAATCATTTAGTAGGTATAAGATTAAATAAGTGATAGTTTTATTAAGAGTTATAGAACAAGTATTATTAATTAGAAATCGATTGATTTATGAAGTTGATTAATTTCATTATAGTCTATGAAATGCAGTTTTCCTTTTCGAAATTCCCATAAATACAATGCACGCGAATCATAGAAATCTTTTGCATCGAATGGAAATCTATTTTTCAGGTTTTGTCCGAATGATTCAAGGGGGGTCCCTGTACGAGCTAACCCAACACCTTCCCTTCCCTTCGCTCGACATTTTCACCTTTAAATACCCTTCCTAGGTATCTGTCCTGTCGCATTGGGCCCACCACATATTTATTGATTGCACTGGGTTGAAGCTTAACCTGTTGAATTATATTGGATGGATTCCTAAGCTGTTGTATTGCATTGCATTGGATTGGATCTTGAAAAGTTTTATTTTTTGAACAGAGTTTTGGTGGGAAACCCAGATACGACGACGTGCATGGAGTCAAGGGTCATGACAGCTTGGTGTATACGATGTCTTATCTCACGGCCAACGGAAGATACTCGATTTTCCGATGTCATGGTATCTTCCAGGACGTTATACTGTACTCCCAAAACATTCAAACTATATTCTATGGAAACACAGTCATGGCAATGGTGGTGTGATAGCCCAGACCTCTCTCACTTTGTTAAATAAAGAGGAATTCCTCCACATCATATTCAATATCAATCAACGATTTCAATCTTCTCTTTTGATTTGGCACAGCTCAACATGGACATCTTCGCCTGGTTTCTATCTCTTCCGACAGCGCGAATAGCTTTTGTTCTCATCTTCTTCGCGTTCTTTCTCAGAGTATGAACAACCCTGAAGATACCAAGACCCATACATATATTAACACGTCCAGATCATTTATCGAGCATACCTCACACCTCGTCGCAAGATTCCGGGCCCGTGGTATGCACGATTTACCCATCTTGTCCTCAAATACCATATAGTCACTGGTAATCGCATCCATTACGTCCATGCTCTCCATCAAAAATATGGCCACACTGTCCTCGTTGCTCCAGACGAAGCATCATGTTCTTCGCTCACTTCTTTCAAAACTATCCACCGCATCTCCAAGCCCTTTCTCAAATCTGGCTGGTATCGCGATTTTACGTCTGTACTACCAAATCTTTTCAGTATGATTAATCCAAAAGACCATGCTGCCCGTCGCAAATTGTTTGCGCATGCCTTTAGCAAGACCTCTTTAAAAGCAAATTGGGAGAGTGAGGTTAGGAAGAAGACGGACATGGCGGTGGATAAAATCAAAAGAGATGCTTTGGTAGGAGAAGTGGATCTCATGAAATTCTTCATGTTCATGGCTACAGATGTCGTGGGGCATCTCTGTTTTGGGGAGAGTTTCGACACACTGGAAAAGGAACAGGTAAGTTCTTCGCTCTCCGCCGTATGTTTCGTTATTCATTTTAGCTCCAGACAAATCAATACACCAAAGATCTCCAACGTGTAATGTTAACAAGCGGTGTGCGCGCTGAGTTTCCGAAGTTTTTTAAGATTGGAGAGATGTCAGGTCTTTCTTTTTTCACGACTCCCAAAGAACGATTAGGTGACTATGGATCCATAGCTGTCAAAAATGCAAAGTCACAAAGTGGTGCAACTCCCAACATATTCCGCAAGATACTCTCAGAATCCAAATCGGATAGCATAGAAGGATCGCTTTCAGATTTGGATATTCAAGAAGAGGCTACAAGTTTCATCATAGCCGGCACTGATACGACTACTATGACACTTACATTTTTGGTATACCATATCTTGAAAAATCAAAAAGTGCAGAGACAGTTGGAAGATGAGCTTTCCACTCTACCTGATGATTTCGAATGTAAGGACATCGAAGGATTACAGTACTTGAATGCAGTTGTTGATGAAGGATTGAGGTTATGGGGAGCGGGGTCAGGGAGTCTCCCTAGAGTTGTTCCTCAAGAAGGCGTTGATTTAGATGGATACTTTCTCCCTGGATCCATGACAGTTTCCACGCAAACTTACACAATCCACCGCGATCCGGAAATCTTCCCAGAGCCAGAAAGGTATTCATCCCTGCGTTCACTCGATTTCTATTTACAATCTCATTCCCTCCCTTTCATAATACCCGCTATTCTGAACTATAGTCAATATCCCATACCAGACTTACGAACTAAAAGCCATACTCTACTCTTTCCACAAATGATATGACTAATTCATGGCACGTGTATTATAGCTTCGAACCCCAACGCTGGCTCGGTCCCAAAGCAGAAGAATTCAAATCGGCATATTATCCCTTCGGTGCTGGAACACGAACATGTGTTGGTATACATCTGGCGAAAATGGAAATTTACTTAATCCTCGCTTCACTTTTCAGGGTGTGCAAAGGAATAAAAATCGCCCCGAGTCAAGACGATGAGGGAATGGAAATTGAGAATTTCTTTGTGATTGGGCCTAAGGGACATAAATGTCTTGTTACGATGAGAGAATGATTGTAGGAAGTGGATCAGAAGGTATTGAGGAGGAAGCTACACTTGCTTTTGGATATCAGTTGTCTCATATTTCTTGCACTTGAATACTTCACTCAATAACTTATTCTCATTGAAACCCTGAATATAGCATCTAGAGTGATGTAAAGCTGCATGTCTCCATTTTGTTTCTTTGCATATCCCTCGTCATGACATGTTCTAAACCACAAAAATGACCCATTCAGCTAATATTGAGAAGCCCTCAATACGTACAACTTGGTTCTGAAATACTTGTAAGAAAACTGACTTGGATGTAAGCGCTACTTGACATAAAATACTAAATCTACACATGATGCTTTTACAATCCTATCCTAATCGCATCTGCCTCAATCTCCATGAACATTTCAAGTTCTTCTTCGTACCTGGTGTGATCGTTGTAGACGTCAATCCCTTTTCTTACAAATTCATCCCATATTTTCTCGCAATATTCTTCCACATCTAGACCACGTTCCAAGAGTGTCTGCGCAGAAACTCTATGCACAACATATTCCGTTGGAATCTCCCACTCGAAGAGATATTCATTCTTGAACAACACAGACTTTTGTTCACGACGCCTTTTCGCCATCTCTTGTGCAGAATGAAATATATCTTTATCCCGATCTGGAACTTTAATCATGGCAATCCAGATCTCGGCAGGATCTTCATCATCTTTGTATTCCTTATGAAACGCAATGTTTGCAGCTCTAATGATACTAGAAGTCACTGAAACCAAAGCGGTTGGTTTTTGACCAGCACGTTTGGGTGAATAAGCGCGATAGAAGAGTTGAGACGACATGTTATCGTGTCCAAAATGACCTCACTCTAAGTATTTGGAAAGGAAACTCGAGACCGTTCGCTAGAAATGGAGATTAACATTGCGAAAGTAGGTAGTAGTGGCGCAAGGCTCTGGGCTGTTTATCCGGTGCCAGCTGTCACCTTTTGACCCCCGCATTCTTCCTGGCCACTCATGTCATATAAGTACAACTAGATAACGAAATGTAACACATTCGACATTATCCAATCTACGATTCTAAAAGCATACCCCCGTAAAAAACGTGACTGTGATTACATATTCAAATAACACACAAAAGTTATGGATTGGAGGGATAACAGACAAGTGAAATTTCCCAGATGAGATGCTTGAGATTCTAGATGTAAGCGCAACAATGAATCCATTGCGTCCTTAAATGAGAGCGCTGGTTGAACCACTAAGTTCTGGGTACATTACTCATAGTCACCAGTAAGATAGAAACCATGTTTCAAGTTATCCGACGAATCCCGAAATATCTTTGACTGACATGTCTTTCTCGAACACTAGAATGATGACAACGAAAACGAAAATCCCCAAGGGCCTTTTTTTTTTTTTTTTTTTTTGATTGTTTAAAGTTTTTTTTCTTAGTTTTCATTGAATTCAACTGTACTGTGCACCTAGAAATCAGTAAGGGAAATCATAATCATCAAATCCCAAGCCCAGCGGCCTCAAACCCCGGGATTATCATCCTCGACCTTCGCATCTGCCATTCTTCGCTCTGTTCTGTACGCCTTAAACTTTCTCGCTGACACTCCCTCATTGAACATCTCATCTAACTCTCCATATGTTCTATCCTTCGTCTCTGGTATCTCTACCCACACAACGAACCATGCAATACATGCTGTTGCAAAAAATATCCATCCCATTTTTCCACCTAGATTTCCTTCAGTCGCATTAAACATATATGGTACGGCTACATTCCAAACAGTAGAATAAGAGTAGTTGAAAAAGAAACCGAGGGATTGGGATTTCGCTCGTAGCCGGAGAGAGGAGATTTCTCCGGCAAGGGAGATGGAAGGGCCAATGGAGGGGCCGATGGTGAACCGGACCATTTGGAGCGTCACACCCACACACCTGTTAAGTTGATTAGCTTTGCTCTGTAACAAGTTTGATAAGGAGTAGAGGGAATGTGACATACCATGAGGATGCTTTTGATGAAGAGACACTTGCTGCAATACCCATGATTAGGAAGAGAAGAATAGCAACTGAAATACCAGATAAAATCATTTTTCTTCTCCCGATGAAAGTCATGAACCAAAATGTGAAGAAACTACTAATCAACGCAAAGCCAATGCCCAATTCAATCATCATTGAAGCTTGAGATGATGAAAGACCGGCTGTGATCATAAAGTATGGAGCATTAGAAATGAAAGTAGCACCAATCATCTGATTGAGACCGTTTGTGTAAAGAATAATTCTTGTCCTGCGCCAATTTGTGCCTTTGAAAAGGTCCATGTAAGAAGTTTCGCTACTGGCATTGGCTTGAAGCTCTTCTTCCCGTGTAATTCGGATCATGCTACCGAGAATGGGCTCGACTGAGATAGACTTGTTGTAAAGCTTTGAAAGAGCTTTGGTGGCAGATGATAGATTGCCTTTTCGGACAAGATAGTAGGTTGATTCAAGAATGATGAAAGAGAATGAAACGATGACTAGTGGCCAAACCCAATTCTAGGTGAAGAGAACTTTGTATGAGGACTGATCCATGATTGTCACACGATCGAAAGCAACAGATGCCGCAATAAGGTATCCTAGGTTCTTCAAATAGTTAGCAACACAGTCTAATGATTTAATATGAAGCACCTTACCATACTAAAAGCATACGCTGACAATGCTACTCCGCGAATCCTAAGAGGAGTGATTTCTGAGACATAGATTTGACCAGTAGTCAAAGCCATACCAAGTCCAATAGCATTTATCATTTTGCCTCCAAGAAAGGCTCCAGGGGTTGTGGCCGTGTAAATAACAGCAGTACCAGCAATCAAGATGAGTCCAGATACACAGAAAGAAACACGACGACAGAAACAATCTGAGATAGGTCCAGCTCCCCAAGTACCAAAACCTGTACATACTTGTGCCATGGCATTCCATAATGATTGCCAATAAGCAGGTATTACATATGTACCAGGATTTACCTGTTCACCAAACTGCGCTCTAAAGAAACTGTCAATTATTGCGCCCATGGAAATTAGAAAATAGACTGACTGTAATGGCAACATATTCAAACAAAGCGAGAGTGCAATGTTATCGAACCCGTAAATCAGTGCCCCCATATTAGCATAGATACAACATAACACAATGAAGGGATTTCGCTTGATCGTCTGCCAAATGCTGAAGTCCGAAACATCGGGTTGGGTTGTGTCAACAGTTTCCACATGCTCGAGATGCTGTGATGACAGTTTAACATCGTCATCTGTGGTCTTGCCGTCCACAACGGGTGGTTTTGTTGTTGCCATCGTGCTGCTCAAATCTCAAATTTAAGAAATGCGAGTCATCAAATGATGAGATTTGTATTGAGAAATGAAGGAGCAAGAGTAGCCCTATTTGAAGTGAAAGCGAAAGAGTTGTTGAAAGTGGAGTGGGGTGGAGTGTGGAGGAATTGTGTTGTGGGGAGGGAGTGTGGAGTGCAGCAGAATGAAGCCCTTGATATGGAGAACACTTTAGGTGGCTGACCTGGAGAAGTCATTGCGTTGGATGTGTGGGGATTGGAGTACGACTCCTCTGAGCCGCCTTGGTACTACCCTCAACGGGGTGATATCCATGGCACAACCAACATTATCGATATGCTTGACGGTCTTACCAGAGCCCGCCGGGGAAAATCTAGCTTAACGTCATGTCATATTGAAAGAAGCCAGGACACTTATCGCTAACACTTTGATGATCCCTCAAACACCCCTTCAACGAGGTGATAAACTACGTGTTCTGTCGGTGATATTAGGTTTCGTAATGTTGCTACTGCCAGTGGCAAAATCACTGGCGAGGATCTCCTCCAGATCCATAATTTCGTGACGGCATATCTTATGGAGATTGAAGATACCCGGCGGCAGCTAGACTAATATCACATTCTCGGGGTAAGTACTAGAGAGGGGTGGGGATGTGTTGGTACATTTCGGTCGACGTTGTTTCGTCCATTCCAAGCACGAGCCCTGTGAGCGCCCGTAGTCTATTTAAGCGAGCTATTAGCTCTTTCATAACATCCACTTCTTCCACTCATTCCACCTTCTCTCCACTTCCAACCTCCACATGGGGTAGTGGACGGTATGGGGTACACTAAACATGTTGACGAATCTTTGACCGGGCTAAAGCTTCAAGAAGAAAAGCGTGTTAGATCTTTGACTACCTCAAAGAATACTTAGTAACCATGAGCAGCCACTCTTGCTTTCAATTGAGCTATACCTTCTACCACTCAAGCTTTCACCATGCCCTCCTCTCCGTTTCTCACTGACGAAGCACAATGGATCTGGGTCCCAGATTTCGACGATACTGTCGATCCTGGCCAATTTGTTCTATTTCGAAAGCCATTTACTCTGGAGAAGCTTCCCACTGAAGAAACTGTCCTTCATGTTTCTGCGGATACTCGGTATCGTTTATTTTTGAACGGCAAACGAATCAGTTTTGGGCCTTGCAAAAGTTATCCAACAAGATGGTATTACGAGACCGTGGATATCACTCCATTTCTGCGGCCTGGAAAGAACGTGTTCAGTGCAAAAGTCTTGAGGTTCTCCGTAACAACTGCGGCCGGCACATCGATGGCCAGGACTTCTCTACCAGGACTCATTCTCTGGTGTCAGATAGGGGTGAGTAGATTCTGAGGTGGCGGTCTACAAAATCAATAAGCTAATTTGTATGAGCAGGATCAAAAGCTTCATACCGATTCAACCTGGAAAGTAGCTAAAGACCAAGAAACATCACTCCTACCATCCTCCAAATGGGATTATCGAATGGGCCCCCCTTTTCTAAATCTTAATGAAGAGGTTCATGCGGACATTAATTTTTTGGGATGGGAGGAGATCGAGTTTGATGATGTATGTTGGAAAAACGCCGAGATAAAGACCATGAAGAGAAAGATGTCACCGATGCTGGATGCAAGAAAACTCATGCCCAGGCCAATACCTCATCTTCCTGAAATATCTCGGCGATTTGACAATGCAGTAACATGCTCTGGAAATTCGAGCTTGAGCGACTGGAAAATGCTACTACAGAATGATAGACCTATGAAGTTAGAGGCCGGTGCAAATACTGTCGTTGAAATCGAATCGAACACTTTGACTACTGGATCTCCTTGAATTTAGCTTCGAGATTGATGGGCATTCATCTCTAGCACCCAGGATCGAAATTATTTGTGCTGAATCCTACGAGAATGATATGGATGGGGGCCAGCCAAGGTCAAAAGAGGACCGTACAAATTTCAAGCCTGGAAAAGTATATGGACCAGTTGATACATATATCTGTCGTGCGAACCAGGGGAAATGTTATTACGAACCTTTCTGGTGGCGCACATTCCGATATATTCGGATATCCATAGCGTGCCCTCCACACACGTCGCTTACATTTAACTCCATCACGTACCGTTCCACTCATTACCATCTACCTATTACTACCACTATAAGTAGTACCCCTCTTGTGGAAAAGCTCGACTCGACATCTGTCAATACTCTCCTCAATTGTATGCATGAAACCCATGAGGATTGCCCGTACTATAAACAAAATCAATTTACTATGGACACTCGCTCTCAACTTCTATTCTCCTACATGATTTCTCACTCGGATCTCCTTGCCCGGAAAACAATTCACGAGTTCTTTGCATCTCGTAGAGATGACGGCCTATTGGAAACGCACTTCCCAAATCGTAGCCGCTCCATGAACATACCTCAGTTCTCTTTGTACTGAATATTTATGATTCATGATCATTCATTACACTTCCAAGATACCACATTCCTCAAAAAGTATCTGGGTACTATTGACGGAATTTTGGATCATTTCAGCGATCTTGTGAATGAGCTTGGCCTTGTGCGACAGTTTCTTGAAGAGGGTACGTGGGCCTTCGTTGATTGGGTAAAAGAGTGGTTTATTCCAGAATGAGGATTTCCTAGTGTGGGAGTTCCCAAAGCATACTTTGACAAAGGAGCTGCAACTATCAACAGCTTAGTCTATGCAATGGCTTTGAGGTCTGCCGCAGTTTTGTCCGAAGCCGTTGGTAGGAAGGACACTGCGAGTGAATACCTTGATAGAGCTAGTTCTCTCATTCGGTCTGTCAATAAACATTGCTATGATAGCAACAAGAATCTATATCTCGATGGACCCGGCGCTATTGGAGAGAGTTCACAACATGTCCAGATTTTCGCAGTACTTGTAGATGCTACAAGCGGAGAGTCAGCCAAAGACCTAATGAGAAAGACCATTCACGAAAGAGAATCGTTGGGGCTTGCAAAGGCATCATTCGCAATGTCCTTCTATATGTTCCGAGCCGTTGCGAAAGCCGGAATTTATGAAGAAGTTTGGGAGAAGCTACTCGGCCCGTGGAAGAAGATGCTTGACCAGAATTTGACCACTTGGGCAGAAAGTGAAAGTATGGTCAGAAGTGATTGTCATGGATGGAGTGCAACTCCGATGTATGAGATTGTGAGGGAAATTGTTGGCATTCAATATCCAACCATAGAAGATAGCGACGGATGTCTAACAATGGTCATTAAACCTAGATGTGATTTGGTAAAGCAAATGAAAGGTACATTTGCGGTTCAGGGAGGTGAAAGTGTAGATGTTTCCTGGGACGACTCTGGAATGGTCAAGGTTCTTAGCTCTAGTGATATGCGGGTTCAAATGGTATTAAAAGGAGTCAGTCACGATATCAAGCTTTTAAAAGGCGTGGAGCAATCTTTCAAGCTTGAAAAATAGAGTAGAGAAGGCATAATATGCAGATGTTAAACATGGCCGGCTATCTTTTTCCTAAGATTAATAATGATGATTCGCCTTTAGGAGAGTGTCCTACAGTCACCGTGCACTTCTATTAGCCGAAACTCCACAAAACGCGTTTTTTCACGTGTTATACTCCCATAATCACATTTTATTATTTTAATTATACTTTTAATTCATAATGCACAATATATTGAAGGTATGCAAAATGATCCTTATAAGCGTTTTATTCTATATATACACAACAAAATAGTTAATAAGACAAAAGAAAACCTCAATTCCTATTGAATTACAAAAAACCTGGAACTTTTTTGTAGAACTATATAATATATCCTTTTGCAAAATCTAGTATATAACAATAATATATATTTATTATATACCAATCAATCTAAATTATATATTGAATAAAATAAATGAATATTATTACAATATATATAATTGTTTCTGAAAGTTATATATAAATAGGTTATTTAAGAGATTAGGCTTAATTATAATATTAAAATTATTAAAAGGATTTTGATCGAATATGATATAGCCAATTGGAGATATAAAAAAAGATTAAAGCTTATACTAGTATATATTACTAAACAGCTTAAATAGTATCTAGCTTATAGGAAATTAATGATTAAAGAATGGAATCTAATTGTATAATTAATTAAATACTCTATAAAACAAAAAAAAGAAAAAAGATTAGAATAATATTTCCGCATTAGTTTTCAGAAATAGGATTCAGAAATAATCGAAATATATAATACAAATAAGAATATGAAGATTATATGCTAAAAAAGCTTTTGGGATATTAGAAAAAGCAATCTATATATAATGAATAGGGATTTTGAGAATACAAAATATAGATATAATATCAAATCTTACCTCAAAGTTTTTAAAACTAAAATAAACCCTATTTTCAAAAAGCTTAATCCAGAATATAAATTTATATAAAATAATACTTTTATTCATTGTGCCTATAAGATATAAAATTGGTTTTAAAAAAAAATCCCTTTATTAAAGAATTAGCCTTTTTATTTCTCTAATCTCAATCCTATAAAATATATATAATAGGTTTTAAAGATAAGGGTATATAAAATGTTTTTTAATATTATTATTAATAAAAGCAAATCAAAATATATTTATTAAAGATTAAAAAATTGTTGACAAATAATTTGGAATACATTAAATAAAGAATTATTTAATAATTTAGAAGCTAGTATATCTTTTAGAATTGAGACTTATATTATAATAAATGACTAGCATATTAAATATTAATAGATTGAAAATCAATAATAGAATAATTTTTATATATATTAATAATATAAGAATACATTATTCATTCATTCAAATTTAATAATTTTATAATTCTTGATTAATTTAATATTTAATATTGAAAAAGGGTGGTGTAATATGTGACACCATAAAATAAGCGGGAGGGGCGGATATAAGTGGCCTAGTACTGTATCTCATAGAATACTTGGAAAGCAGACTGCAGTGCCCGTTTGTACGAGATATATATCACACGCTTTGTATATAATTTGGTGAAGACCAGCAGAACATTTCTTGGAATACGTATCAAAACTGTTTTCCGCCTACACTCTTTTGGATTTTAGGCGCTGAGTTCAACGCCATTGTGCCTATACTTGAGGCGGTTTATAGGCGATGTCGAAATCAGAAGCGGGTTTGCATCATGATTAATGATATCTCCGTTCAAGACAATATGCGCATATCATGATTCAATCGATTATCAGCAACGGATAATTCCCACAATGATGGTGAATCGCTGGAATACAAATCATTCAACGTTACCAAAGACAATCATCTCACTAAGTTTCTTTCTTTGAATGGTATGGATAATCATGTATCGAAACTTTTCTTTTGCCGTACCAACACACAATTTATGTATAAAGCTCTTGTATCCCTCTTTATTAAAACCTTAATGTTGATTCTGTAACCCTTGGCTTCTTCCTTCAAGTAACTCAGAGCAAAGTTTTACGCAGCATAAAAGAACACAGCTTCGGACAAAAACAACACAAAACACTTTTTTCATACTCCATTCAGGATCAGAACCAAGAACCAAGAACCGCATAACAAAACACAAAGAATAAATCATCAATCATGAATCAAGCAGCACGCGCCTTGAGTGAAATATCACAAAGCATTAACTCCAACAAGAAACTTCCTCCTTTGGATCCCTATGAAGGTCTAGATGCACCTCCACAACTCGAGTACAAAGATCAGATCTCCTGGATTGCTGTTTGTATCCATCCATCCCTTTATCCCCATTCCAGAACAATCTTCCGCCGTTGATTTCTAAATCTTTTCTACCCATCTTATGCAGACTTACAAGCTAATTTCAACATTACAGAGCCACGCAAATAATTACGCTCCTTCTGCCATAGTTCTCTCCCAAGCAAAGTCAAGCTCATGGCAACAAATGCTCGCGAGTCTCGAGGCAATCAATAGAATCCGTCATCCAAATGTTGGAGAGGCATATATCAAGTGGAGAAGTCAAGACATGCTTGTCAAGCGTCTCTGGGAGGATGTGAAATTCCCTGGCGTAGATCCAGATCCGGTCTATGTGAGTGCTTTTCGGATGAAAGCATGTGGAAATAGAATGAGGCTAATATACGATAGACACAAATCCGAAGAAAGTACTGCACCGCTGTCAGAAAATTAATCAATGAAAAGGCAGAACAAGAAGAGGATGATACTAGTGCTCTTGTAAGTCTTTCCCGCCCATGAATGCATTATCGATAATACCTCTCTCCAGATGAAATTGCTGAAAATTCAAAGATCTTTCTCAATGAAACTTACAGCAAGAAACTCATGTTAGCACGCAGATTAGAGGTTAGTACTGAGAGCTTCTCTGACCGTATTCGCGCTATCAAGGCTAAGAAGGCGAAGGAGGCTGAAGAAGCCGAGAAGAGAATCAAAGAGATCGAGGCAGAAGAAGAGAGAGAAGAGATGATGGAGCATGGTGGAGACGAGGAATTTGTGGTTTTGGAGATGGAAGATGCGGATGATGAGGATTACGAATGGGAGGGTGATGATTGGGATATGTCGTGATCGGTTTTTGGGAAGAGTGGGGCGATGAGTAGCTGTTGGTGGCTCATGGAGGAGAACATCACTATCTAGCTAATATGGTAGGCTGTTGTGGGTTGCGCGGTTGGCTTATAATACATGTTCAGTTGGTGCTTTGTGTTTATGTCCTGACATAATCCCAAAGTAGAATATAATACTTTACTTTACACATTTTTGTATCCTCGTGTATGTAGACGTCAGGCGAAACGATTCTATCATTGAAGACAGATTATATTTTACCTTAATAAACATCTTATTACCATAGAAGTGATAATCAGGTGATATCATGATTATAATGTCTCCTGTTTTATAAACATATCATGACTTGTTAACTTTATGATTACCCATTTGAAGCAAAAGAGTTTCCTACATTATGGCGACCTAATCTTCTCATTTACCATGTCCATATCGCTTCCATAATTCAAGGTTCTTATATTACATCTGATACAATTATTATCTGGATGAACCCAAATAGACATGAGTATCTGGCATTGGTCCAGTCTGCCAGTCCGGACTATTTGATTTCTTGCTAGGATTTCATCTGGTCATTTTTTCTACAATCAAAATACATTTCTAACATAAAGACAAAAGGAAGAGAAAAATAATGATTTTGATCTCTGGTCAACATGATACCTTGCGTTAGTTCTTTTTGTTGATTCCTTTCCCCTTAATTTCGTCTCGTCAAATTCACACTAGCGCAGAACAGGACAATATCAATGAACCTATGCAGCACGAAAATTATGGGAAACCCCAATGAATCTTCCATCAACATGCAAAACTGAAGTTCCAACAGCTGTATAATACATCACACCAATAGAATATCGATACTAGTGCCAATAACCACTAGCCTCCCATTCTCGAAATACAATCTGGAACTTTGAATAGAATCGTACAGCATCAATGATTTTTGAATCATTCAAAACCCAAGTTTCTGGGGTGGCACTAGTTTACACCTGGACTGTACTGCGTAGAATAATAGTTATATCAAGTTCCAGAACTACTTTTCTCTAACATAAACATTTCTTTAGTATCTTCCTCGCAATACTCACCAAGTTCCATAATACATTCGGCATCTCTATTACGCATCCAAACTCAACTTGAAACCCTCAGCAGTAACCCGCCTGCTAAGTTTTGTTTATTCAGAGATCACCAAGAGGACATCAAGACAACCATCATGGATCTCCCAACATTCACACCCAGTTTTATCCAGCTTGAAAATAAGCATCTCAGTAGAAGCGATGCTTATCATTCTTCAATGTTCTGGGAGAAGGCTATTCCCAGACTTGCTCGCCACACCATATCAGGCCAGGACCAAAAGGCTGTCACGGATAGATACAAAGCAAAGTGTGTCGAATACTATGGAGATACAGTCTACATTAGTTACTTTTTGTACTGTTGGGATAAATCTATCTCGCATTATTTTTGTAAGTGCTAGCTAGTATCGTTTTTAAGGAGTAAAGCCAGGGTTATTAATCCGGTTTCATTCTAGTTCCTGGTGAAAGTTTCGTCGGATCTGATCCCGATCCAACATACGTAAGATATTTGCCTCAAATAGTAGAGAGCTTAGAAGCTAATCTCATCATTATAGTCAGAAGTCTTTGCGCAATACTTTAATGAGCAGGCGCAGGTCAGAGACGAATTGAACGAGTGTGGCGTTCAGGTAACGGAACAAGTTGTATGTATTATCTAGCCCTAAGATTCAGTGATATATATTAATGTGAATGCTATAGCATGTCTTGTTGAGCCTTAGCAAGGTTTATAACAATCAACTCCAGCTCGCACGCAGACCCCCTAGATATTCACCCGGTGATTTTCCAGTGGTTACCAGCAGTGCAGGTGGTCATAGTGGCGCTCGAGAGCCGAGTCCCCAAGGCAGTACTATTGGAAGCATTCCAGCGGAGGACCATGATGCCGAGTTGCCCGAGAAGAAGAGACGAATTGAGAAGGCTGTTACTAAAGTCTTAAGTGAAGGGCTAGATCTCGATTGGGTCATGGTCAAAGAGATTCAAGAAGAGGGTTGGGTCTTAGTTGAAAGGGAATCAAGATGATCATAGATCTTGCTTATAACTGAAGTTCCTGTTTTTCTTTCTGGGTTGTATTTGCCACACGACCCTGAGATATAGAAGTCATATACTGAGAGTCATGCTTGTCAAATTAGTAAAGCTTTTCTGTAGAGATAGACACATGGCATATTAATTAGCAAATGAATTTCATGAAATACCTATTACAAGCAGGGTAGACATATAACTTTTCATTTCTGTGACGCTCGATGTGATGACAAGGTAGATTGTAAGCTAGGTGGGAAGTATTGATTGGAACACAGCTAAAAGTTCAAAGAAATGAAAGATCAATGAATTCACATTCTCTGAATGGTAATCTTCATTTGAGGGCCCATTCGAATCGATTTTTAAGCAATATTAATAACAAATGTAATCTAAATGGTTGTTTACTGAATGCGAATGTTGTTTAACAATTTATATTGATAATATAATTGAAAAAAGTGTTTTACTGAATACTGATATTGAGTTACAAAAAGCTATAAAATATTAATTAACAAATTTGAAAATTGATATAATAATTTTGTTAAATTTGTAATGAAGCTTTAATTAGTATTTCATTTATATATATTATTTTATATTTTGTAAACTTATAAATCTAATTCAATATCAACAAAATGTAGATTAAATTATTAATCAATAAATCTCCTAACGTAGTTCAACACTGAGTAGCTCATATCATCAAGTGGCCCACTTCAAAATACATCAATATTAAGCTTTTTCTAATATTTATATTTTAATAACCAAATATTATTTTTGTAAAAGAAAAAGATATTAAATAATAATAAAAAATTAGTTTTTTAAAAATCTAGTTTTTATATAAATATTTCTATTGTATTTTTAAAAAAATCGAAATTGTTACGATTTTCGTTACAAAAATATTATTTTAATAATAACTTATATATCAATTTGGATTTTCCAAAACAAATCAGATTCTTATAATATTTATATAATTAAATATTCTAATTTCAATTTTATAAGAATTCTATTAATAAATAAAGAAAGTGTATAGTTATGTATAAACGAATTTTATATATATTTTGAAGTAGGCTACTCGATGATATAGGTCACTCAGTGTTAAACTATGTTAAACTTATTTTGATAATAAATTAAGAAAACGATTCGAACGGGCCCTAAGTATAGACAGGTGTTAAATCCTTCTATTGACTCTCAGTTCTCTATATATATGTCAGATCAAGGAACTAGTACATACTCAAAGATTCGATTAGTGTTCGGATAGTTATGAGGATCTCGGGTGCTACAGTAGTCATTCACTCCCTTCTTTCTGAAAGTATATAAGCTTCAAAACTCCCCAGATACTTCGTTGTGATTCATATCACAGATAACCTAATTCACATGGCAACTATATAGTATTTCAATCAACTAACAGTCCAAACCCCCAACTTGTTGTTAGAGTTGTGAATTGAGGTTAGTGAACTGTCCCTCTATTGAATATGATATGGGTAACAGCTGAGCTAAGCCACACTAGGTGTCTAGGTATTTTCAGTTGCAAATTTGCCTGTTCTCGCTTGCTCAAGCTGCTGTAGCTTGTGGGGCTCAAAGCATTTATTTTACTACAAAGTTCCCTTCTCAGTCTGCAACAAACTTGGATGTTGCGACTTCTTGCATGACTTACACAATAGCCTCCAACACTCCAACAATCACAGCATTTCAACAATCACAACACTTCATAGTCAAGACGTTTTCTTCACAACAATACAAAACAATATCATGCCTCCTTCCAAAAGACTCAGGCTTTTGCTCTCGCAGATGCCAATAGAAGCATTTGGCGATTCAGAAGATCAAATCCAGGCGTCCCAATCCTTACTTCAAGGAGCAGCATTTGAAATCGAGAATATCGACCTTGCTTGGAATAATGCGGCTCAAGACACGCTACAGCACCACATAACTTCCACCGATGCGACTGACAACCATGGAACCACTGAGCGAGTCACTGCAAGTATCGTTATCAAGAAGGAAGGCGCTTGGGGCGATGCCACAGGAGATTTAATCGTGGAAGTCGCCACTGAAGTCTCCCATGAAGATCTCGTCCAAAATGGTACTGCCAACGAGGAAGTCGCCAAAGAAACCGATTTCGAAGATATTGTTGTGAAAGGCGCCACCGAACAAGACACCATTTGCAAAAGCTTCAGTGAGGAAGATACCGCTCAGGTAGATCTTATCTCGTTGAGTATTAACATGGAGGATAATACTGAGAAGAACAACATTGAGAAAGTTGTCATCGCAGAAGATGCCGCCCAAATTCTCATGGAAAATTCCGATATTTCGGGCCTGAATCATGATTTCGAGAACTCTGAAGCCTATTACCAAATAATATTGAAGATGGATCGTGGCGCCATCGACGAAGAGGTTGTTAAGGCTGAGAGGGAGGACGACGAGGATGTTTGAGTTATAGCTTAGGTTTCAACTGACTGGCTGAGATATTACTAGGGACTGTTTCCTTCAGTGGTCAAATATCATTTTATGATACATTGAATGAAAATGTTGTAATGGTGGCGGTGATCTCATAGCTTCCCCGACGGTGCTCAAAGTCATCAGGGATAATGTCTACTATAACAATAATTCACAATAGACATATTAAAAATCAAAAACTGTGCATAACTACGGCGTGAATGTATCTGTGCATGAGTACAATGTGAAGTTATCTTCTCTTTCAACTTGTTTCCATAATTCTATGCATCTGGTAGCATAGAGTACAGAATTGTGGCCTCTAGGGAAAAGGGGGCCGCCATCGTCTGGTGTTTAATACTGAGGAATCGTTAGAATTAAGCTTTAAAAGTCACTATCAGACAGAGCTGAGCAGTAGCCATGAAATAGGATGTCCCCATTTCAAATACATCTCAATTGGACTTACTAATAGCAATAGGCATACCTAGTATTTTGCCATATTTGTGATGTAATTTGCAAAGCAGCCGTACCACATGCCGCTAACATGTATTATAATCAGTCACCATGGACTATTCCCAAACAAATAGTTGTAGAGACATTATTGAATATGGAGTCTCCTACAATACTACTGCCTGTGGACGTATCATAATGAATTCCCTTTTAATGAATTGTACCGTACCTAGGTACCTAATTACTATTGGTAGAAACACGTGCTAATATTCACTCCAAACTCCACGCTAGCTCCATACCATACGACATCTTTGCACAGCCTGAATCTTCCGAAATTACCATAAAGCTATCCCTACAACTCGAGACTGCCCATCTTCCTTCGTGTCTAACAAACAAACACACAACTCGAGCATCCAAATTTCGAAAGTCGACCTCATCATGGTAACTAATTCATCATTCAACGTGACCATAACTAGAGGCGAGACAGAGTCACCACCGCTATCGAATACATATTCTGGCAAGACAAATGTGGACATCATGAGATTATTATCCAAAGAAAACCATAACACCAGGAAGATGGAACAAGAACGTCAAGGTCGCAAGGCCATGGAGATCAATCAGAATCAATTGTTCAAGTCCCACGACAATTCATCTGGACGCAACAAGGATGACATGGCCAATCCACCCTGTAATGAGACTCGCAGTTACTCAAAGATGAGCACCACCAACGAATTGAAAGAAATGAAGGAAAGAAGTACATATTCAAGAAATGACAGTAACGAAACCCCTACTCTTAAGAGTATCTTCCACTCTGATGTCCCGTCATTTGTTGGATTGTATTCTCGACCCGAACGGAAGGCAGTTCATCGAAGAAGACCACAAGTCAATCACCAGGTGGGACCACAGGAGACGGAACAACAAGAGATGAACATGCAAGCAGCCAGTTCTACTTGGATTTCAGATGCAGTTCCTTCAAAGGGATTAGGCAAGAAGCATCGGGAGAAAGAACTTCAGGTCGCTATGGCGCCGAAATCAATACTGGATCGCCATTATAAAGAAAAAAGGGCTAGACGTGCTGCAGAATTCAGATCACTAGAACATCATATCGTCAGCAGAAAAGATCCCGAGTCAGAAATTTCTGAGGTTGAGACCAACAAGGGAGACCAACGATCCCACGTCTTGGCCGGCACACCCACACCAGCACTCAGTGAGCACCAAGCCGCATTCGAATTGACAAGAGAAAGAGCGACAGCAGCAATCAAGAATAGTCAGATTGCTAGAGCAGCAGCCACAAAAGTCATTGTGGAGAGTCAAGCTGTCAGAGCTAGGGTCGAAAAGGCTCTCTTAGAAAGACTTGCCGACAGATCTCATGCAGAGAGTGCTGAGAGAGGTGAATCATCAAGAGAAAGAATTACAAAGACTGTGATTGCTTCTTCGGTTGATGGTTCTGTTGAGGACATCCTGGAAATGGACAAGAACAACAACAAAGAGATTGCTAAAGAGGCGACTCAAGAAGTTGTTCAAGCTGCAGAACAAGCTTTCGAAAGGGCTGTCCAATCCCAGGATAGAAAGGTTCAACTCTCTGCCAGCTCTCCCCAGATTTCCAACGGTCCCAACAACAATCCCACCAACACGATGGATATCAACGCGAACAATACTGATGGTGAGGCTACCACCAAGGTATCAAGGTACACAGGGTCTATGGATGAATACAAGATTGAGTTTGTGACAGAGGCTGAGGATGATGCCGAGAACATGGACTCTGAAGCTGAAGATGACTGGGTCAAGGTCATGGATTACGATGAGGATGAGGATGAGGATGAGGTTGAAGTTGAAGTTGAAGAAGATGGTTGGCTCCTTGCATGAGCAGCCATCATTTTTCACTGGAAAACGAGTTAGCAAAGTTTTCGGGCGGTAGTTTTTGGCCTGATAAGGAGTGCAAGTAGCCTATGCAATGGCATGCCAGGAAATTACTTCGCAGATATTCTAGGGAGCTAGGTTTTACAATTACCAATTTTTGTAAATAACGAAGAACTGAACTACTGATGTGATGTATGGCTTCCTTCGATCCACATAGCTTTCGTCCCGAGCTATCATGAAACGAATGCAACATAGAATATCATTGAAGCACAAGATGATGTTGTTGCTCCCAGCCCATCATGGCGGGGTAACGCGGGGTAGTGATCTCTGCTGCTATTGGCTACTTGGTCGTATTTTTCGTCCCCTTTTTGTGCCTGAGATAAGTGATAATGGATAAAAGCCGGATAATTATCGAATAGCAGAGTACATCACGATGCTACTCCTGTTCCTGATTATGAACCAATTGAAGTAATCGACCGATTGCTGATACAAAAGACACTCACCGCCCACATGTGAAATCTCCCCTGTTTCCCACCAAAAACTCACACTGCATAAAGTATAAATGCCATACACATCACCATTACCCCTTAATCCCCACAAAAACTCGACCACCAGCGTGATGAAAAAAAAAATCTCACAACTTCCAGATCCATCTATCGAAGCACGCCAGAAGAAAACTTCAGCGTGCATTGCATGTGAATGCCGAGTAGTGGAGATAGCTGTCATTTTCAGCCCGGGTGGAGACTCTCTAGCCCAAGCAAAATTATTCCAAGGGCGGGACGAAACATGACGCTTCGTCCCGCAGGCAATCTATTCTCCTTTGCTAAGGAACAGGCTGACCGGACTGGTGGGACGTGACAGCGGAGTCATTATGTTGTGGATTGTTTGATGCATGGGCGAGAGCGACTGCATCTTGGCGATGTCTAGACCACCCAAGATAGGAGTGAAACAAAGAGATGCTTCAGTGTGATCATTCAAACAACCAAGCAAATCAAGGAGCGCCAGAAGGCACCGAGTCTTGCGACCCATTTAGAAGATGGAATTACTAGCTACTGTAGTATAGAATGCCCCAATCGAACTCCGATACCCCTTCTATTATTCCCATATCCGTTCAGTTCAGTTGTCCTTGTTGCCTCGTGACAAACCATATTGCATATGCCATCTACCATTTTGACGCAATCTTTTATCGGAACCCCTGAAGCCTATTACCCCAAAAGAAAATCATCATCATCATGTCATAAAACTCCAAACAGACACCCAAAGGATGAAAAAACATCCACAGAAACTCCATCCTCTTTTCCAACACTTGGTATGAAGATCCACCCTCCCTAATTTACTCCGAGTCTCTCCTCTCACCCATCTGCTTAGCCCTTCTTCTGGCCTCAATAAATTTATTCAAGTGTTCTCCGATAGGACCATAAGCCTCGACTGGATACCAGCACTTCCCCTCATCATCCCACGTCGTGACAATGATACTGACTTCCGATTCTGGTTGTTGAACATGACGAACGGGAGCTCGTTCTCGTGCGTTACGGTTTGAGACAGCCATAGGAATACGAAGAGATGAGGACGAAGACGCCTGTCGTGGACGAGAAGAGGCGTACTTCGGATAAGGAGTTGAGTTGAGCATTCGCTTATTGGAGAAGGCGTGGGCGTTGCGGGGTGGTGAGATCTGCATGGTGATGACTGTTCTGAATGTTCTGGTATTTATAAAATGGAATCAAGAGAGATTAAAGTGTAGAAATGTGAATGCGAGAAATTAAAGTCGGTAATTGGCAGATCTGGTCGACGACGTTGGAAGGCTGAAGACTGGAATGAACATTCATTTGTGTAACAATGTAACGGTGTAGAAAAAAGTGCTTTCGTTATTATCAACTTCTGGTCGAACTTGAGTAATTATCTGACGAAGCGGTAGTGAAAAGAGTATGAAGTTCAAAGCCCATTGCAGTGCTCGATATGGAGTGACAAATTGTATGTTTCTTTCTTGTCAAAAAACAAGAGCGAATTAATAGGTGGGAAAATGTCTCAATATATAGAATGTTTAGGTTGTGGATGAGATTGAAATGCCTCATAGCTTTGATCACGCAGGTCCATCGAACTTTACAGGAATGTGAAAAGACGCCAACAAAAATTGGGCACTTGTGGATGATGGCTTGTGTATTGGGCTAGCACTAAACACATGGTAGGTAAATAGTAAATAGCCTGGGCAAGGTTTTAAGAAATCTAAAAGGGTAATGGCAATCTATCTCGCCTGTATACGCCTGTATACGCGTGTATAAACCTTACCGCAACTTTACGAAGCACATCAAAATCGATCGAATTAGTTCAGACCAAACCTAATCAATCTACAAGTAAATGTAAGTATTAGCTAAAAGGAGTAATTGGGTTCGGTATTTCTTTCGATATTTTTGGTGCTTGGGCAATGGTGTTATGGAAGGTCCGTTCGTGTGCTCCGTGATAATAAAGGGGCTCGGATTGGGTAGTCACCTCACCGCCAGATAAGCTTTGGTGGAACTGTGATTGTCGCTATCTTGATACTTGAAGTATTTCAGATACGGTGTACAAGAAGCATCGTCGACTTTCTTGAAACTTGGTCTTGTTCCTGCGAGTTTCCCATTTGAGAGTCTCCATCGAACCCATTCAATTCCTGATTGGATTCAGCATGCAGTTAATTTGATAATGATGATGTTGGGACTTGGGATCACGCATGGTGGACTTGTATATTTGACTTGGCTATGGTAACCTTATAGTAACAAGCTGTGAGTGGACTCGTGGACTCGTGGACTAATGTTTGACTCGTGGTTGGTGAAGTTCCCGCTTTTCTAGACGAGTGACAATAGACTTTGAAGACTTTGATGAGGGGACCCCATGTGATTTATCATTTGACCCATCTCATGATCTTCAACCGATCATAACCGAATTATATAGTTATGGGACCTATGGGCGATGATGAACATCACGTGAGCTCTCAAGATGTTCTGGAACAATGTTTTCGTGTTCTCATCGAGATTTACTCCTCATTTTAGATGCGTAGAGTTACGTACTAACTGTTTGGTGGTAGAAGATACAACCGATCACAAGCTCTGGAATAGCTATGGTGTAATCTGTGTTGCATAACACTGCTGTATAACCTGCATTCGTCTTTGATTCGGGTTATAAGCTAATTGTGGCGAGCATGTGAAGCAATAGCAACGAAATCGACATTTGACAGGAACCTTTTGGAAGGCTTGTGATTCCTAATAATAATAAAAAGGAGAGTCAATTGTGTCTCTCAGACAGTACTGAAACCTTAGTAAGCAATCTTCCAACCTGAAATTCTATATTGGGAAGACCATTGTTCCCGCAAAAACATGCACAATTCATTCAATGCTATGGATCATTTCCGAATGAAGTCGTACATCAACTTGACTAGACCATTTACAGTCACGTCAGCCACATTGAAAACAGAGTAAGTAGGTAGGTGCCCAGGTGTGCTTCGGTGCTCTGTGCCAACCTCTTAGCACAGCGCATCATGTGGCTTGTTATTACTTGATAAAAATTACTTGCAATACACTATTGTGCGGGAAATCGTACCCCACGATCACTAATCGCCTAGTTTCACGACGTTGGACTATATTACCACTGTGAGTTAATATTCTGGGGGTTTTGGACGGAATAATAGACTGTCTGCTTTGAACCGAATTGCAATTACCCAGTTGTGTCGTGTTGTCCCCAACAAGAATTTGTCAACCTTCGATGTTTCCATCGAATCATGTAACTTGACCTCATTGCTCGGGACGTATACGAAGAACCAGTCTATTCAACACATCCTTTCCGTTGATCCTCTTCTGGAGGTAATCCATCCAGGTATTCCAAGTCGCAGCTGGCTCCAAAAAGACCGAGGGAAACATTGGCATACGCGTTTCTCTTCCAGTACTGATACTTCGGTTTGACTTGGACCCTGATGAAAGTTTATCGCACGGTTCCTGTGTTATTTGCGGGGTTGGAATCCCTAACTCGACTGTATCCTCGCCTGATAATGGTGATTAGCATTCTAAATAGACATCAAACTTTTGACATCTACCTTCTGTCGCGCTGACACTCGCCGAACTTGGCAAGTGCAGGAGAGTGTTTGGGTAAAACTTAGGATTCTTATTCTCATTTTGGCTAATTCTGTTGTTCGCCCGACGGATTCTTGGCCGGCACAGAATTGCCGAGTTTTATCAAGATGTAGCAATGATTAAGATATGCAGCGACACTACTACTCCGACGCAGTCTGTGTATGGAAGACCATTAGTCAAAGTCATCTGCATTGCTTTCGTATAATTCCCCGTAACTGATGCAGTCCACGTTATCGCATCACCTCTCTACAATTTCTCAGAATGTCTAAAATGGACGATCTTGCCACTAGATCTAGTTCTCAGAGGGCAGAACTTCCCAGTACCCACATTGTCTCAATTCTTTCTATCCTCGTATTCGATCGCACGTTTTCCAACCCTATGCATTTCACTTAATGAATGTAATTTGAAGCACAATCCTCGATCTCGATCAAATCCGGTTTGGCTGCTTCGAGCCCCGTCCTAATCAGATCCAGTGTTTGCCGGGTATTATTGAAGACTTGAAGAAGCTGTTTGCACCAAAGCAGGCGTCGGCCGTTCTGCACCCGCTCAGATTGAAGGTTGCTTGAAATGAGTTTAAGCTTAGTATCCTCCCTGAGGACATAAATCGGCCAATGCTAGCAGAGCAAAACGGAAATGGCTGATTTGCCCGCATGGCGCCAGGTCCTACAAAAACGGGAAAGAGCATTTGCAATTTCGGAATGACCATAATTTCTCGCGGCAAGAATGAATGTAGCTGAGTTTGAAAACACGTCGCGTGGACCCGACTTGGAATTTTTTTAAGTTTGGTTATGATTGATTTAAACTTTCATTGGCACGACAACAGTATTGTTCTGTGAAATTACATCCTGCCATTGTTTTTCTTCGACAGGAGCTTCTCCAGATTGCCCCTTATTTTGATCATATAGT